GGTTATTGCACTTATAACAGAATTATTGGTCCATTTTTCTTTGAGGGCAATTTAAATTCAACAAAATTTTTGTATTTCTTAAGAAATGAGTTTTCGAATGCGCTAAACAATTTACCACCTCTGGTATGTGCGAATATAAAATTTCAATTAGATGGGTCTCCCGTGCATAACGCAGTAGTGGTAAAGCGTTGGTTAAATGAAAATTTTGAAAATCGATGGATAGGAAGAAATAGTCATCTTATTGAATGGCCGCCAAGATCTCCTGATTTGACACCACTCGACTTTTTTCTTTGGGGAATCCTTAAACAGAAAGTTTACAGGTCAAGGACACAGTCGCTAGATGAACTGCGTGCTAGAATAGTTCAGGCATGTGCAGACATTACCCCAGAGCAACTGAGGAATGTAACAATGAATGCACGAAGAAGGTACAATAAATGTATCGAACTTAACGGTGGATTGGTGGAAGCAACAGACATTTAACTAGTTTTTATTTTCTATTAATACCTTGAATGTTGTTTTTTTCTTCAATTTTTTGAATTTCTGTTAAATATTGTTAAATAGTTTTGTATTATTCTCTGTATTTTATTACATTTTTGTCATGGTCTACTAGATCAGATGAGATTAATTTATAAAAAATTATATTTTTCAATTATCTGTAACGGTGTTGATTTGTAACCATTTTTGATGAGATTTGGTATATGCCCATTTCAAAAGGCGCTTAATGCAGTGGTGTACTCACATTTTTTGTAAAAAAATTCCTAATATGATTTCTTCATTTTTAGCACCTAAAAAGTGAAATAGTAGGCCTTGTTTTTTTTTAAGAAAAATATCACTCTTTGTCCCAAGATACAGTTTCTTACGCTCTGCAATTAAAAAAAAAAAATTATCGAAATCGGATAATAAATACAAATTTTACGAGGGTGTTCCGCTTTCAAACGGGTCACACTGTATATTATATTTTTATTTTAATAATAAATATTAATAAATTAATAAATAATAATAATTTAATAACAAATGGAGCAAATGAAGATGACGTTCTTTCGCCTATATTCAAATCTTGGTGGATAGCTTTCTTTATCGCTGGAGGGCAGCGTATACATTTTTGTACTAAGTGTTGAGACATCCTTGTCACATTCAAGACGTAAGATTGTTCACAAAATTTACACTTGTATGTTTTTCCATTAGTTTTTATAAAAGCATCGACTATAATGCTTTTAATTTTATCTTTTCTGGCCATGATCACTTTTTAACAAAGTCACGATACGAGACACTAGACACGACTAACTGCGTGCGTTGTGTGTCGGCGATACACGTGTTATAACTTGTTCGCTTTCCCACCATTCCACTTGGTTGATATGCCAAGTGTTGTAAAATACGATATTTACCGTAAAAACTGTAGTTTACTCAAAATAATATCGTTATTTACCTAGTAAATTACGGTAATTTATTGTAATTTATCGTGTAAATTACGGCAATTAATTTTTGGTATTTTACGATAAATTACGATAAACTACTATGGTTATTTTTTGGTAATTTACAAGCTCACATCACTGATAGTTACCGATTTTTGATCTCGTCACTTCGAACCAGTTTCTGAAGAAGGTTGCAACATGGCATCCGAAACGTCAAACCTTTTATTAAAAGACGCACGGCAAAACCCGAAAGTTTCTAGTGTTAGTTCTAATTTTAGTTTAAAATCTTGATATGTTACAAAATTACACTTACCCTTATTATCAGTGTTATCATCTGAAGATTTATCTGGAAAAATATCAAAACAATTAATTTCGAGGGAAAGAAGGAAGTGTAAAAACTATGTTTTTGTTAAGCTGCTTATTTGGTAGGTATTAAGACGGGTTTTTAAATAAGATTTAATTACTGATTAATTTCTTATGTTAGCAAAACAAACGACCTATCGATTTTAATTTAACCTAATAGATTATAACTTACAAGATTTAATTGTAACAGGATTTGTTACAGAAACAGATTGTAGTCCTGAAATACACAAATAAATAAAAATCTTTAAAAAATGAAATCATAAACTCACCAATAGTATCATCATTAGAATTTTGAGGTCTTTCTGCAATTAATTTATTTATTGTATTATATCTAATTGTATTGAAGTATTTACCTTGAAAGCTAGATACACAACTTGGTGTCAACTTAGTATCAAGCATATCAAAAATATAATCAGATCCAAATCCAGAATACATTATAAGGAGGATAAGAAAGTACATAAATGATATTGCAAGTTGAGCAATTATCATATCAACTCCAAAAGTCATAGCGCTTTTCCAAGCAACACACTCTGCCGAATTTGGATCTAATCAAAAAAACAATTTGTAAGTCTTTATAAACACAAAGTGTTGCTATTATGTCTCACCACAACATGGCATATGATTCAATTTACAAAGATAATCAACTTCATCTTCAGATTTAATATCCCAATTATGTACCTCAACGACTTTTACAGCAAAACTGCCCAAAAGATACGTTAAACTTGCTTGTGGGACTAACACGACGCAGCATTCAAAAATAAACGTCCAAAGAGACGTTGCTTCAATAGTTTCTGCAATAAGTAAAGCAGCCCCAAATCCAATCCCCAAAAGTAGCGAAAACGTTACATAACGAAAGATTGCCGTTTCAACCGATTTCATGCGCGTAAACAAATATCCAAATGGCAAATTTGTTGTGCAATAGAGAACCAAAATACTGAACAATTCAACTGTAATGTGTAATAAAAAATTACATTAATAAACAAATTTTAATTATAATATTTACATGTTTGATGAGTTGTGGCAAATTTAGTGTTTATATTAACCAGTAATAATATAGCAATCAAAACTAAACTGCTGAATGACACAAGCACAAAATCAACTATATAATTTATAATCCAATACAACCAAGTGGGAACACCACAAAGTTTTTGTAAAACATTTATTTCATTTAAATGCATGTATGTTGGATAAAGTAATGTTGTACTCATTAAAAACAGTGGACCTAAAAAACAATGTCATCAAAATGGGTTATAAATTAAAATATAAATTTCTAACCTAACGGTAATAAAAAGAACCATAATAACATATTTGCACTTGATGATTGTTGTACTTCAATGTACGATTGTTTGGCAGAGTGTAAAGGTGTATTTAAAGCGGAAATCCAATATTCATCATCTCCAGTTATATATTTTAGAATTGTATTTGTTGCCAGATTTAAAGAAATAGGTGCTCCATGATGAGCATTATTTGAATATAAAACTTTAACATTTTTTATTTCGTCGTTATCTAATTTAAATTCAGTTGCTGCAATCATCCAACGTTTATAAAAGACGATATTTTCAATTCCCATTTTAACAATTTCTAAAACAAGAAGAATTCTAGTTTTAGTTCAATTAAGACTGGCCGTGAAAGCTTTCATATTTATAAAATTTTGTTAAATAAGACATTTTAAAGATATTCGAAATTTATATTACCATCAATAGCGCTGCTAACACGTAATGGAATACTACCAACGGATGCAACAACATCATGATAAACATTACTCAATCTTCCGTCTTTTGCACCATCAATAGAAAAGTAAACGTGAGTATTGTCATATTGCGCTAGAGATAATTCAAATGTTGTTCCATCATTGGAAACGTTGCGTTGACCCATTTTGCTTGCAATCATTGTTATTGCTCCGAACATAAAGCAAATTAAAAGCTAAAAAAATGCGATGTATAATTTTTTTTTAAAAATTTCGTCTTAAACTTACCATAAAAAAACAATAAATATACGATTTCTTTAAGAAATTATAATGATTTTTAGCTAAGAACCAAAGCTTTTTGATAAATGTGACTACTTCTTTAGTCTGTTTATTTTGTGTTGCCCTCTCTGCTTGGGCAGTAAATTTTTCTTGAAAAAATAAAATAACTAAAATTAGATTTGTTGAGATAAAATGTAAACAAAAAAAAATCAAGTTAAAAAAAATAACAAATAATGTGAATACACTGGTGCAATAATTGTAACATAAATAAATTAATTGCGATACTTTGGTGTAATTAGTATAATCATGACAATTTTGAACAAATTACCTCTGTATTTGGCGAAGTCTAGTATAGCAAGAAGTAACCAGAAATATAGAAAATTAATATAAACATCATTATAATATAAACTGTAACCATAAATTTTTACTCAACCTTCAATGATTACATTGGGTGATTTAAAAAGTTAATGTCTAAGTCAAATTGAATTTAACAATTTTTTTTTATTGTTTCAGACATTGGCACCAACTTTTTGAATTACCATTATAAAAAGTTTATGATAAAAATCCTACCTGGTTTATCTATAGTCGCCAAATCAACCGCTTTGTTTTTCGATTTTCCATGATCTGAAACAAAAATTGAAATAAAAATAAAACAAAACGTAAAGACTTGAAAATATAACACTCACCAGGATTATCAACACTCTTAGGTGAATTACTTTGATCTTGTTGAGTCCCAAACATTACCCTAAAAAGTAAAAAAGGTAATCTTTAGATATTGGAAGGTGATTCTTTTACATGATATTTTCTACATCTTACAATTTGTCTCAAATTATGGTATACAAAACTTTATTGTGTTTGTAAAATTAGTAATTCAATTTGTAACATAATTTAAACATACATCAATGAAAATTTTACACATTTAAACACAATTCAGCTGGTTCAATGTAAACGCCCTTTATGGCGAAGCTTTTCTTTATTCATGAATTTTCATATTTTTCTCAATATCTATGCGTCTGAGAGAAATTTTGTTAAGAATACAATTTGCTAGAACTTTCGTTCGAAAAGTTTTTATGTAGCATGCTCAGATTCAAATTTATTCAATTTTATAGTTGTTGCCTGCTGAGGCCATCATGGTTGCCTCCTTACATTTTTGTAGTGTCGAGAATACGTTATCTAACTTTTCTTTAGTTAATGCGTCGAAGGCACTTCTAACACAATCTATTATATTCATTCATAGTTTTTGGCGATTTTGATATTTTGAGAATTCCTGGCTTGAACCTGAGAAATGGTGATATCTATGGTGGCATTGACTGTGGATTACGTTATCTTGATCCATTATCATTGATTTTTATGCGAAACGTTTTTCTCTATCAGCTTTTATTTTCTACTTATAACAGAATTTAATGCAGATGATTGTCAATTTTGATATTTTGAGAATTCCTGGCTTGAACCTAAGAAATGGTGATATCTATGGTAGCATTGGTTATGAATTATGTTATCTTGATTCATTATCACTAATTTTTGTGGAAAACGTTTATCTCTATCACCTTTAATTTTCTACTTATGACAGAATTTAACGCAGATGATTGTCAATTTTGAGAATTCTTGGCTTGAGCATAAGAAATGGTGATATCTATGGTGGCATTGACTATGGATTAAGTTATCTTGATTCATTATCATTGATTTTTATGGGAAACGTTTTTCTCTATCACCTTTTATTTTCTACTTATAACAGAATTTAACGCAGATGATTGTCAATTTGGACATTTTGAGAATTCCTGGCTTGAACCTAAGAAATGGTGATATCTATGGTAGCATTGGTTATGAATTATGTTATCTTGATTCATTATCATTAATTTTTATGGGAAACGTTTTTCTCTATCACCTTTAATTTTCTACTTATAACAGAATTTAACGCAGATGATTGTCAATTTTGATATTTTGAGAATTCCTGGCTTGAACCTAAGAAATGGTGATATCTATGGTAGCATTGGTTATGAATTATGTTATCTTGATTCATTATCATTAATTTTTGTGGGAAACGTTTTTCTCTATCACCTTTTATTTTCTACTTATAAAAAAATTTAACGCAGATGATTGTCAATTTTGATATTTTGAGAATTCCTGGCTTGAGCCTAAGAAATAGTGATATCTATGGTGGCATTGATTATGGATTAAGTTATCTCGATTCATTATCATTCATTTTTATGGGAAACGTTTTTCTCTATCACCTTTAATTTTCTACTTATAACAGAATTTAACACAGATGATTGTTAGTTTTGATATTTTGAGAATTTCTGGCTTGAACCTAAGAAATGGTGATATTTATGGTAGCACTGGTTATGAATTGTGTTATCTTGATTCATTATCATTAATTTTTATGGGAAAAGTTTTTCTCTATCACCTTTTATTTTCTACTTATAACAGAATTTAATGCAGATGATTGTCAATTTTGATATTTTGAGAATTCCTGGCTTGAGCCTAAAAAATGGTGATATCTATGGTGGCATTGGCTATGGATTAAGTTATCTTGATTCATTATCATTGATTTTTATGGAAAACGTTTTTCTCTATCACCTTTAATTTTCTACTTATAACAGAATTTAACGCAAATGATTGTCAATTTTGATATTTTGAGAATTCTTTTACAGCGCCTTTCTTGTTCTGCTTCGCCCAACGTCATGTAGTATGACCTTTAAACTTGCGTTGAGTCGTACATATCCTCAAAACATCGATTTGATTTAACCTTCGACAAACAGAGTTCTAGTTTCTTTCATTAATTAAATTAAGATTACATTAATTCTCCAAACTTTCCTTAATCCATAAATTTTAGAGAAATGTATACCATAATTTGAGACAGAGGGATACATAATAATAAACTTTAAACTTCAAAATAATTATTGCGAACCATTCTGTAATTAGCTTTCTGATTCGAACTTACTTCAAAACAACATCCTCAAGAGTAGTATTACTAAACTTGATACTTTTAATACCCAATTCTAATTTTTGACCGTGTATTTGAGCCAAAAGATGATGAAATTTATGTTTCATATTACTTGGTAAAGCAAACTCAACAACATCCTTNTATGGATTATGTTATCTTGATTCATTATCATTAATTTTTATGGGAAACGTTTTTCTCTATCACCTTTAGTTTTCTACTTATAACAGAATTTAACGCAGATGATTGTCAATTTTGATATTTTGAGAAATCCTGGCTTGAACCTAAGAAATGATGATATCTATGGTGGCATTGACTATGGATAAGTTATCTTGATTCATTATCATTATTTTTTATGGGAAACGTTTTTCTCTATCACCTTTAGTTTTCTACTTATAACAGAATTTAACGCAGATGATTGTCAATTTTGATATTTTGAGAATTCTTTTACAGCGCCTTTCTTGTTCTGCTTCGCCCAGCGTCATGTAGTATGACCTTTAAACTTGCGTTGTGTCGTACATATCCTCAAAACATCGATTTGATTTAACCTTCGACAAACAGACCTCTAGTTTCTTTCATTAATTAAATTAAGATTACATTATATTATATTAAATAGATTCGTTAATTCTCCAAACTTTCCTTAATCCATAAATTTTAGAGAAATGTATACCATAATTTGGGACAGAAGGATACATAATAATAAACTTTAAAAGAATGCGAAACATTCTGTAACTAGCTTTCTGATTCAAACTTACTTCAAAACAACATCCTCAAGAGTAGTATTACTAAACTTGATACTTTTAATACCCAATTCTAATTTTTGACCGTGTATTTGAGCCAAAAGATGATGAAATTTATGTTTCATATTACTTGGTAAAGCAAACTCAACAACATCCTTCGAAGTAGCTTTGCACATGACATCTTCTTGCGTTAATCTGGTTGCTTCTGGTATAAATGCTTTAATGGCACTTACAACACCTTCGATTTTTGTTTCATCCACAACCACGCAAGTGCAAATGTATCCTACATCTACAACAATAATTTAAGTTAAATCTAAAATGTTAAATTGTTTTAAATTTCTCCATACTGTATTTGTTTCTTAAAAACATAGAAGTGCCATAAGATACAAGTGTTCCCCTGTCCATTATAGCGATTCTATCGGAAAGTTCGTCAGCTTCTTCTAAGAAATGGGTACTTAAGAGGATTGTGTGTGAATTTTTGTAGCTGAGGATTAAATCCCAAATTTCTCGACGTGCTTCTACATCGATTCCAGCTGTAGGTTCATCCAATATGAGCAACTAATTGAATAAGGAAAATATTAAAATAGAATTAATAACAATAAATGTTGAATTAAAAAATGACTTCGTTTAATTAGGTGAGGAATAAAGGGGACTTTGATAAATAAATGATGATTCATTTAGTGATAAAATATAAAGCAATAAAGTTAAATACAGGATGAAAAAACCTTTGAGCTTAATAAAAAATCCTATACAAAGAAAATAAATTAAATTTACCTTTGGATTTCCCATTAAAGAAATACCCAAAGCAACTTTCCTCATCATTCCACCAGATAGTTTACTGACCAACTCATTTTGTTTTTCCCATAAATACAGTTTGTTTTTCAATAGATCCATAGCTTGTAATTCACAATCTCTTTTAGATGATCCTCTCAACTAATTCAATATTATAATATTAATCAATGTTATATGATGTCTTTGAGTTACTTACCAATCCAAATAAAATCAAATGTTGCCAAACAGTTAATTCTTTAAATAATAAATCGTGTTGGGGACAAATAGACATTAATTTTCTTGCTTTTTCTGAATGTTTAAGAATGCTCACGCCGTCAACAAAGACATCTCCAGATGTTGGATGGATCATCCCTGATTAATTGAACAATAATTAATTGAACAATATTAAATGATAAATAACACACCAGTCATCATGGACATTGTTGTGGTCTTTCCAGCGCCATTACGACCCAACAAACTTGTAACTGTCCCTTTATAAACATCTATATTTAACTTTTTAACAGCGGTAACATTATCGTATTCTTTCGTTAAATTATAAACGCGAATCATTACGTTACTATTATCGACATTCAACATTTCAATTGCATCACTATTTTCAGATGTAGACGCTACATTTCCAACACTATTAGATTTTTTTAAGATTTCTTCCTACAAATATTAAAGATATTCTATAACAAAATCAAAAAGATATTAAAATATATGTACCGAAATTAAAAAATGCCATGGTTTCGATATCCCATATGGTCCTGGTAAAATTTGATCTAAATATAACGCCAAAAGAAAATAAATAAAAGTTTCAACTAACAGATAAAGCAATAGTGCTCCCATTGATACATCTTGAGAGCTTTCAGAGGGTGAATCAAAAATGTTGGCCAAGTTCAAGCTTACCTCTAAAAAATTTTAAAGATATAATTAAACAGATTCGATTTCAAAAATTTTAAACATACCACGGGTTTCAAACGCAGCTATTATTTCGTATGCATAATATAAAGCGACGTTAGGCAATAATACAAATAATCTTTTGAAACCTAATTTTAATAAAGCCCCATGACCAATTGATGTGAATATTATAAATCCAGCCAACCACGCTACAATACTTAATATACTTGCTAAAGTCGCTATAAACAAAAAAAAATTATTATTTTACGTAGTGATTAAAACTTGATAAATTTATCAAGTTCCCGTTTCCTGCTTTTATCGCAAAAAGGATGTCTTGAGATTATAGATTGCATCAAAAAATTGCTAAAATAAACTTACCTCTATTAAATAATGTACTAAACATCAAGAAAAAGCTAATTGTCGCTGAACAATACAAAATTAATAGCAATCCAATAATCAGCCAATGACAATGTTCAAGAGGAGCAGTTTTTACCTCCCACAATTTGCATTTTAACAAAATGATAATTGCAATAATTGATATGAGGTTCAATAAAAATCCGTTCAAAAACCATCCCAAAAATAACGACCAATTTTTTAAACCATTAATTTTCATTAATTCCTAAAATATTTCAAAATCAATAGAAAAGAACTTAATGTTTCGTGAAGTTTTAAAAATAAAGATAACCAAAATCATGGATGTGAATTATAAAAACGAAAATTGAAAGAGTTATCCATGTTGCAAGAATAATGATTAAATAAAAACCATATAAAAACTTCCAACTAGTACGACTTTAAATTAATAAACGCAAGTTGGAAGTTTTTATATGGTTTTTATTTAATTATAAAAACGTTTCGATAATATTTCTATAATGAATTGCATTACTAATCAAAGTCTGAAAACTCAGATAATATACACATTAGTCATTTCTGTGAAATAGATTAAAATTAACATTGATGATGAAATGTCTGAAATTAGTCGATTTTACCATCATCAATGAGGATATAACAATTACTAATTATAAGTCACAAGTATAAGAATTGCCTAACATTCTATACCCATGTAGAATATCATTACTGTGCATGTAATGCATGTTTTATTATTTTTTTGTTCAATATTTTATTTTATAATAATATAAGAAGAAATAACTAAGAAAAAAATTATTAAATATATATTAATTCGCTATTTATTGTTAGTAACAAATAAAATGATAGTTTCTAAAGTTTTCTCAAAATATTAAGAATTTCTAAAACTGCAAATTTGTGAAATAATTTTTTCCACTAGCATTTTAGTTATGGTCTGTCATTTCTGTCATCACTGAAGAGGTAGCGATGATTAAATATTGTCTACCAGTATTTCTCAGACTCATCAAAATCGACTCCTGTTGTTATACAACTAACCTTTATCGCATATCATACAATTTGGCATTATATGTACAACCTGGTTCGTATTCCTTATGGCACATCTTTAATTAATTGTTTAAGGCCCATTTTTACCACCTCCTGATAAATTTATCCGATAGATAAATCCAGTTTTTAGGTTCATTACTACCATCTTTTAGTTAAATTTATCTTATAGATAAACCCATCTACTAGCCAATCAGAGCGCGTAACCATAATAATAATAATCCCATATAATAATAATTAGATAGCTTAACCAGAAGATGGTAGTAACGAGTCTTAGCCAATGAGAGCGCTTAAAACCGCCGTAACCATGGTAACTATCCTCTGGATAGTTTATCAGGAGGATTGTAAAAGTGGGCCTTAGATGGCAGAAGTCTACCAGACAATAACTCGCTATTTGCAAAAGACTAAATAGTGCTTACAGAAGACTGCGCCTGTTTGTAGGAGAGTTGGTACTGTTAACAAAAGACTAGATATTCTTTTCAGAAGACTACTATCGGTGCAAAAAGTCAAGGCCCCACACTTTAGAGATCGATATCTTCACAGCCGCTCGATAAAAAAAATTGCGACAAAGTTTGTTGTAATCATTGAACATTTCTACGTAACATAGGTTAATTTGAAAATATTCGGATCAGCGGTTTTCTTTTTATCGCGAATTAAATGAAAAAAGTTTTTTTACAGTACCGCCAACTTTGTCATCTTTGCGATTTTTTTTCTCAAAAACTATCGTATGAAAAAATTTGAATTTTGAACAGATTAGGTAGCCTGATGTGTTCTTAATGAGTGGCATATTTTATTTTTTCGATATTCCATACAGCTTCGCCGAAAATCGCGGTTTAATAAGACACCGTTATATCGAAAACGGCTGGGTGGATTTCCTCGCGGATTTGACCTAAATATGTCAAATAATGTCGGTTATCCGATTCCGTTATCAGTTTTTCAAAATTAGAGCTTCCTAATTTTTTAAGAGCGATTTAATGGAATTACAAATTAAAGAGAAACAGAAATAAGCTCTGCGGTGTGACGGGGGTCCAATCGGAACAGATGGTGAGTCCTAGACAGGACGTCGCGCCTTATTTCTTTATGTATGTAAGATAAAGGCGCGACGTACTGTCGGACATACCATCTGTTCCTTTTCCCGCATAGCTTATTTCTGTTTCTCTTTAATTTGTAATTCCATTACCGCTTTTAAAAAATTAAGGAGCCCCAATTTTGAAAAACTGATAACGGAATCCGACAACCGACATTATTTGACATATTTTGGTAAAAACCACGTTAAAATGCGCCAGGTCGTTTTCGAAATAACCGCATCCTACTAAACCGCGAAATTATATGAAATATCGAAAAAATAAAATATGCCCCACATTAAAAACACATCGGTTTATCACCAGTTCAAATTTGTAATTTTAGTAGATGCTATTTGTAGAAAACTGCTGGTAAAAGACATCTTATTCTTCGTTTGATTAGGCGTAATCCCTTGTCTCTTTTCATTTTGTAGATGAGGATAACTAACTGTGGGTCCATGTCTTAGGTGGTCTTCTTCCCATTGGTCCAATCTCTCCACATGACCTTGAACCACTTGACCATGTCTTGTATTTTACATTTTCCCTGATTAATTTCTCTATCTTCATAATTTATATGGGCGGTTTTTGGCAAATAGTTGTTAAAATAGAATTCTCAACAGTGTTTTGGAAGAAATTAATTAAAGAAAATGTTTTCCATATTTATATGGTTTTATACCACATATTTATCTACACTAACCACTGTCAGATATTGATAGTGAAAGAAAGTAATTTTTCAACATTTTCCAAGAATATTGTGGACTGTGGTTTAGAGGACAAAAAATTGGATGACTGGAGGAAAACAGCAAAGTATTCCAGTATATTTCTACATAGATGTTCAGCTTTAACCAATACAATTTCCTCCCTATTATTTTATAAAATTCAAGTATTCAATAAAATGCGGCATTAATTCTGATATTTACCTCTACATATTAAGAAATGTTATGATAGTTTTACACATAGATATTAGATACATCACATTAACTATAATATGATTCATTTTTAATATTTTTATGATTATCTTTATTTTTAAAACTAATTTATAATAAGACCTTACTTTCATTCCTTGGGATTTTTCTTGGACGATATTGTTCAGTACAGAAGAACAAATAAAAAGAAATGATAAAATGGTCACCAATGGAAGTGCCTTAATGAAAACTTCATTCATTCCAGAATCAATTGAATGTGGTGGATATGGGAATTCTTCAAATTTAAATTGGGTATCCAATGGTTTTCCAGTAACAATTTCTATGAAAGACAATTCAATTGCATATTGTATTGGGAGAAAGCCATTTTCAATATAATTTATAGAACCTAAATAAAACAAAGTATTAATTTATGGTAAAGATTTAAAATATTTTTTATACCAGTTCCTGGTGAGTAAGAATTTGATTCGATAAAAAGATCATCGGTATTCCATTCGATAAAATCCTTGTAAATTTTGAGATTATATTGAAATTCCTTTGGCACAGAAGGCCCGTTTACATCATCAAACACAATAACCACATTTGTACCAGTGCTCGGATTCTTATTATAATAATTAAAGAGTATATTTTGATTTGGAAATCCACTAATATGATGGTTATATAAATCTAATTTCAATTGCATTTTTCTTATTAAATTAAAAGTAAAATTATTCATTGGTGTGTAATATATGCTCAATTCATCGATTCCGAGGCGACTTTTCAAGGAAATTTCATCAATCGGATCAACCCATGTTGTAGTATTCACATATATTTTATGAAAACCTGGGATTTGTGATCTTGCGAAAACGATAAATGCAATAGTAAGAATTGGTACAATCACTTCGAAACATGTTAACACAATTTGCCTTTTTCGAATCGCACAATGCTTATATAAAGAAGCATATAAAGCGGACGGCATTGTATTGTATCTTTAAATTTTTATTTTTAGTCACTAACATTTAAAGCTCACATTATTTTAAAGTATGTCTGTTTACATGTAAACATATTTCTCTTTGTTAACGGTTTTCTTTGATTTTTACAGTTATATCGCGCGGTTAACGTTTTTACACTTTATATCCGTGATAGCATTATCGTGTTTGTATTTGCCTTGTGTTGTTTATCATCACAAACTTTTAATATACTGATACGCAGAATACGGGTCGAAAACAGAATTGAACGACAACGCTGGATCCCTTTCTCTTCTACTGTGTCATAAAAAATAACTTGCTGGCTTGCCACATTGCAGTTGATGTTCCAATTTAATTGAAATTGCTAATTACTGTAATATTAAACAATGACATTCCATACTGAAACATATATTTTAGGTTAGATTCAAGGACTTAAAATCAAGGTTATGATACTCCCATTTTAATAAATTAAATTAAAAATACTTACGATTTAAAAATCAATATAAATAATAACAATATATTGAAAATTAACGCAGATAATGTAATTTTTGATTATTAGCAATTGACAACTAAAATCAACGTTTTAAATTTTAAACAAATTGTTTTCAGAATGACCAACTTCTTTATGGATAATTTAAAAGAATCGTTACTCATTCACAATTAGTTCCAGTTATAATAAAGTAAAGCGATTACTGAGAACAATGACAAAGCTATATTGAGTTAAATAACCCACACAGCAAAATTAAAAACAATTATTAATAAATAAATTCATCGCGTAAATTGGGTTGTCTACCTTTCAGATTTAAATTTAAAGCATTATTTTAAAACAACTTAAAGTTAATTACAATTACAAATTAAGGATTTTAGTTACAATAAGAAGCTTTTATTAATTTTAATTTTTTTATACTCGTAGTTGATTTTATTTTGTTAATAAATTACAATCAAATAATCTAACCGGAAATGTTACATTATTTAATCACATATATGTAATTTTTTTCATAAAACCTGTCCTTCATTTATGATATTTTGATATAAAATTGCGTAATCGAAAACATTGCTTTTATTCTATTGCCGTATTTTGAATTTACTGCGATTTTTTACAATTTTATTCTTATTGCGGTTTTTCAATGACAACGGAAATCCACATTTCGAGTACGTACCGTATACAGTGTCCAACAAAAGTATTCGTGTATGTATTGGGATCCAAAGTCCGTTGAATAAACATACAGTGTGTTAATTAATTATCGTACCCGACGTCATCATTGCAACTATGCAAGCAAATACGCAAATCACGTATTGAAATATCAATACTGTGAAATTGGTTGCATACTTGTAACGATGACGTCGGGTACGATAATTAATAAACGCACTGTACTGTATAAGGTTATCCAACTCCCTATGAACGCTGTTGTTATGAACGTACCCCCCCGCAAAGGCCTTGCTGCCACGTCATTGGAAGAATTGACATTTCTACGTTTTTATTTATACAGTGTATTTCACTGTGACTTCCATAGAAACCGGACTGTATCTACATACTTTGTCCATGTCAATATAATTTGACATTACAGTCAATTAGAGTAAAACGTCAAGCTCAATCTTTATAATCCGCCATTTTATTTTTGTTAATATCGAATATGATTAATCCAACATCGTATTCGTGATCTACATTAAATTCTCTTTAAAGCGAGCCCAAACTCGATGGGGTTATCTTAAAAGATAACAAACTTCCGATTGTTACTTTTTTGAGGTTATGTCAAAATTAAATGTGGGATATCGTGGGTGTTTCTTAAGATAATTGAGTCGTGTTTGGACTCAAATTAAAGGATTTTTAATTCCCCACCCGATTAAGAATAAAAAAAGAACCTAACGTCACTTGGTAAACGTCAAATTATTATTGTTTGATATTTTTCGCCATCTTGATTAATAATTTTAATTAAATAATAATAAAATTCTTTATTTTTAGATCTAAAAGTACCCGGCAAATTAAATTTCGTTGAAATCGAATCATTTTTCTTAAATCATCCTCCATTTTGTTTTTATTACTATCGAATTTGATTAATCTAACATCGTATTCGTAATCTACATTAAATTCCCTTTAAAATGAGCCCAAACTCGGTCGAGTTATCTTAAAAAACAACAAACACCACCGACTTCCGGTTGTCACTTGTTTGAGGTTATGTCAAAATTAAATGTTAGATATCTCGGGTGGTTTTTGAGATAATCGGGTCGAGTTTGGACTCGATTTAAAGGATTTTTAATTCCCCATCCGATTAAGAATAAAAAAAGAACCTAACGTCACTTTGTAAACGTCAAATTATTATTGTTTGATATTTTTCGCCATCTTGACTCATAATTTTAATTAAATAATAATAAAATACTTTATTTTTAGATCTAAAAGTGCCCGGCAAATTTAATTTCGTTGAAATCGAATCATTTTTCTTAAATCATCCTCCACTTTGTTTTTATTACTATCGAATTTGATTAATCTAACATCGTATTCGTAATCTACATTAAATTCCCTTTAAAATGAGCCCAAACTCGGACGAGTTATTTTAAAAAACAACAAACGGCACCGACTTCCGGTTGTCACTTGTTTAAGGTTATGTCAAAATTAAATATGGGATATCTCGGTTATTTTTTAAGATAATTGAGTCGTGTTTGGACTCAAATTAAAGGATTTTTAATTCCCCACCCGATTAAGAATAAAAAGAGAACCTAACGTCACTTTGTAAACGTCAAATTATTATTGTTTGATATTTTTCGCCATCTTGATTAATAATTTTAATTAAATAATAATAAAATTCTTTATTTTTAGATCTAAAAGTACCCGGCAAATTAAATTTCGTTGAAATCGAATCAGTTTTCTTAAATCATCCTCCATTTTGTTTTTATTACTATCGAATTTGATTAATCTAACATCGTATTCGTAATCTACATTAAATTCCCTTTAAAATGAGCCCAAACTCGGTCGAGTTATCTTAAAAAACAACAAACGCCACCGATTTCCGGTTGTCACTTGTTTGAGGTTATGTCAAAATTAAATGTTTGATATCTCGGGTGTTTTTTGAGATAATCGGGTCGAGTTTGGACTCGATTTAAAGGATTTTTAATTCCCCACCCGATTAAGAAAAAAAAAGAACCTAACGTCACTTTGTAAACGTCAAATTATTATTGTTTGATATTTTTCGCCATCTTGATTAATAATTTTAATTAAATAATAATAAAATTCTTTATTTTTAGATCTAAAAGTACCCGGCAAATTTAATTTCGTTGAAATCGAATCATTTTTCTTAAATCATCCTCCATTTTGTTTTTATTACTATCGAATTTGATTAATCTAACATCGTATTCGTAATCTACATTAAATTCCCTTTAAAATGAGCCCAAACTCGGTCGAGTTATCTTAAAAAACAACAAACACCACCGACTTCCGGTTGTCACTTGTTTGAGGTTATGTCAAAATTAAATATGGGATATCTCGGTTATTTTTTAAGATAATTGAGTCGTGTTTGGACTCAAATTAAAGGATTTTTAATTCCCCACCCGATTAAGAATAAAAAAAGAACCTAACGTCACTTTGTAAACGTCAAATTATTATTGTTTGATATTTTTCGCCATCTTGATTAATAATTTTAATTAAATAATAATAAAATTCTTTATTTTTAGATCTAAAAGTACCCGGCAAATTAAATTTCGTTGAAATCGAATCATTTTTCTTAAATCATCCTCCATTTTGTTTTTATTACTATCGAATTTGATTAGTCTAACATCGTATTCGTAATCTACATTAAATTCCCTTTAAAATGAGCCCAAACTCGGTCGAGTTATCTTAAAAAACAACAAACACCACCGACTTCCGGTTGTCACTTGTTTGAGGTTATGTCAAAATTAAATATGGGATATCTCGGTTATTTTTTAAGATAATTGAGTCGTGTTTGGACTCAAATTAAAGGATTTTTAATTTCCCACGTGATTATGCACGAAGATAAAACCTAACTTCACTTTGTAAACGGACCTTGATTGGGACTATAGCTTATTTAGTCAAAACTCTACAACACTATCTGAAAAAGCCGAGGCTCCACAATATAATAACCACTTTTAGGTTGATAATAATGTTAATGATTAAGCCTCGGCCGCAAATGACCTCGTTATAATATGTCAAAACATCTAGAATCAATCTAACATTATAGATTTAAAATTAACACATTTAACAATGTTTATTAAAAAAATTATAAACTTGTAAACAACGATGGAAATAGTACTAAATAAACAGACACAAACTCAGATCGTTTGGAGAAAATTTTGCTTACAAAGAGGGCATTGCAGTGAGTTCTTCAAGCATCGCTTCAAACACAGGGGATGGAATAAATGGTTACACGGCGTAATCCTAGCTTTGCTCATTTTATTCAAACAAACAGCACATATATCATCCCATGTCTCCAAATCGTTATTTGAAGCCATTCTAAATGAGGCGTAAGTTCGTTTTTCAATAATCAAAGGATATATGTAATTTCGGCAAAGATCTTTCAAATTTAGGTATAGCAAAAAATACGAAGATAGCAAAGCGTATTTTCCATAAGGCGTATTTAAAAGAGATCCAATTAATATAAACGATAATAAAGCTGTTGTTGATTTCAAAATAATAGGAACGAAGAGATACTCCATAGAATCAAAGGTTGTAAACCCACAGAGTGTTACTAATGCTTCAATCGATTCGGATGTTATCTTTTCCGTGCAAATATAATAAATAAATGTTACAACATTATAGAACGCATTCGGTTGATAATTAAGACCTTGTTCTCTTAAACATATAACTATCACGATCGTTTTCGCCCACTCTATAACAATTTTACATATCCAATAAGCGTACTGTCTGTAAGAGGAGTGATGAGAATGTCTTGGAGTTGGTCCTCTGCGTTGTATTTCGTTTACGTAAATTTCTCGCACGCGGGATACAAAATAACCAAAGACTGAATAAAAAAGCAACGTTGTTAGACCCGATATCATTCTTTCTTCTTTACGTTCCGTTTCCGAATGTTTTGATCTTATAACCGCTACCTCGCAAAGTGCCAGGAAGAAAAACTGCAACAAACAGAAAAAATTGATGGGTAGATAGAGGGATATTTTTTTAAGGAACTTACTTATAAATATTTGTGAGAGTTGAAAACGTCCCATTCGTAAGAAATTGGTGTTGCGAAAAAGACAATTATTAAAGTTCTCTATAAAACAAATTTATATCTGATAGATGATAGCTATTTTTGGTTTTTTTATTTAATTAATTAAGTGTGTTTCAGTAAATTTACTAACCTGACATATAAATGAGTAAATATGATACATTTTTATAAAGAGATACTCCATAGCTGACATCTCCGCAACAAAACCTATTAGAAATCTTTTAAGACACCCGCCGATCGACACGAAAATATCTGTAAAGAAACTTTGTCCTGCAGATTCTTTTTGATAATAACCACCTCTTTTTTTTACCTTTAAGTTTATGTCCTGTCCGAGTTGTTAGACCTAAATCCATCGTAGATGTTGATACAGTTTCCGACATTTTTACAAACTAATAATTTATATAAAAAACTAAACAAAATTATATTTATTTTTCAAAGTATTCTTTTTGGAAGTGACATTTTGAAATGTCACGTTTCAACATCATCTTTATTCACCGGGAATTTCATATAACTCGCAATTTATGAATGCTGTAACTATAGTTACGAAACTACTATGAACTTGCACTGTCCCACATAAAAAGCAACATAGCTTAATATTACAGGCATTGGATAGTTTTGTAAAGGAAAAGTTTTGTTTGGAAAAGGTGATGTCCTTATGATAATTCTGAGTTTTCTGGTTCTAGGTCTAGTGTTAGTTCTACTTTTTGTTCAAGAAAAATATACCACAATCTAACGCTGAATAACAATTAAAACTAGAACTAACACAAGATATAGAACTAGAAAGTTTAGCCGTCTTAACCCTTTGTGTCCCAAGAAGACAAAAATTTTGAAACTTTGTGACGGAATCAGACAGAATTAAAACGCTATTAAAATACACTCAGTGAATGCCTTTGGAGATAATTATAGCAAAATATACAATACCAGAAGAAACTAATTCAAAAATTTCTGGAAGCCGTGTTTATTGAAATTAAGAAATGAAACTTATTTTAAATTAAATCTCAAAGCTTTCTCTTTAAAATTATGCATAATAATTGTTGGGTTGGATTAGAAAAATATAGAGAAAAAAAATGTTGAAATAAAACTTACATTTTCGTATAACCTAAAAGTGTCAAAAAAGATGTTAATTTAAAAATTCCCGAAAGCCGTATTTATTGAAATTAAGTAATGAGACTTATTCTAAATTAAAGCTCAAAGCTTTCTCTTTAGAATGATATATAATAGTCGTCGGGTTGGATTGGAAAAATATTTTAAAAAAAATGTTGAAATAAAACTTACATTTTCGTATAACCTAAAAGTGTCAAAAAAGATGCTAATTTAAAAATTCCTGGAAGCCGTATTTATTGAAATTAAGAAGTGTCAAAAAAGATGCTAATTTAAAAATTCCTGGAAGCCGTATTTATTGAAATTAAGGAATGAGACTTATTCTAAATTAAAGCTCAAAGCTTTCTCTTTACAATAATGTATAATAATTGATAGGTTGGATTGGAAAAATATTAAGAAAAAAAATGTTGAAATAAAACTTATATTTTCGTATAACCTAAGAGTGTCAAAAGAGATCCTAATTTAAAAATTCCTGGAAGCCGTATTTATTGAAATTAAGGAAGGAAACTTATTTTAAAGTAAAGCTCAAAGCTTTCTCTTTAAAATGATGTATAATAATTGTTGAGTTGGATTGCAAATATATTAAGAAAAAAAATGTTGAAATAAAACTTACATTTTCGTATAACCTAAGAGTGTCAAAAAAGATGCTAATTTAAAAATTCCTGGAAGCCGTATTTATTGAAATTAAGGAATGAGACTTATTTTAAATTAAAGCTCAAAGCTTTCTCTTTAAAATGATGTATAATAATCGTTGGGTTGCATTGGAAAAATATTGAGAAAAAAAATGTTGAAACAAAACTTACACTGTCGTATAACCTAAAAGTGTCAAAAAAGATGCAAATTTAAAAATTCCTAGAAGCCGTATTTATTGAAATTAAGGAAGGAAACTTATTCTAAATTAAAGCTCAAAGCTTTGTCTTTAAAATGATGTATAATAATTGTTGGGTTGGATTGGAAAAATATTGAGAAAAAAAATGTTGAAACAAAACTTATATTTTCGTATAACTTAAAAATGTCAAAAAAGATGATAATTTAAAAATTCCTGGAAGCCGTATTTATTGAAATTAAGGAATAACACTTTTTCTAAATTAAAGCTCAAAGCTTTCTCTTCAAAATTATGTATAATAATTGTTGGGTTGGATTGGAAAAATATTTTTAAAAAAATGTTGAAATAAAACTTACATTTTCGTATAACTTAAAAATGTCAAAAAAGATGCTAATTTAAAAATTCCTGGAAGCCGTATTTATTGAAATTAAGGAATAAGACTTTTTCTAAATTAAAGCTCAAAGCTTTCTCTTCAAAATTATGTATAATAATTGTTGGGTTGGATTGGAAAAATATTTTTAAAAAAATGTTGAAATAAAACTTACATTTTCGTATAACTTAAAAATGTCAAAAAAGATGCTAATTTAAAAATTCCTGAAAGCCGTATTTATTGAAATTAAGGAATAAGACTTTTTCTAAATTAAAGCTCAAAGCTTTTTTTTCAAAATTATGTATAATAATTGTTGGGTTGGATTGGAAAAATATTTTTAAAAAAATGTTGAAATATAACTTACATTTTCGTATAACTTAAAAATGTCAAAAAAGATGCTAATTTAAAAATTCCTGGAAGCCGTATTTATTGAAATTAAGGAATAAGACTTTTTCTAAATTAAAGCTCAAAGCTTTCTCTTTAAAATGATGTATAATAATTGATAGGTTGGATTGGAGAAATATTAAGAAAAAGGATGTTGAAATAAAACTTACATTTTCGTATAACTTAAAAATGTCAAAAAAGATACTAATTTAAAAATTCCTGGAAGCCGTATTTATTGAAATTAAGGAAGGAAACTTATTCTAAATTAAAGCTCAAAGCTTTCTCTTGAAAATGATGTATAATAATTGTTGGGTTGGATTGGAACAATATTAAAAAAAAAATGTTGAAATAAAACTTACATTTTCGTATAACCTAAAAATGTCAAAAAAGATGCTAATTTGAAAATTCCTGGAAGTCGTATTTATTGAAATTAAGGAATGAGACTTATTCTAAATTAAAGCTCAAAGCTTTCTCTTTAAAATGATGTATAATAATCGTTGGGTTGGATTGGAAAAATATAAAAAAAAAAATGTTGAAATAAAACTTACATTTTCGTATAACCTAAAAGTGTCAAAAAAGATGCTAATTTAAAAATTCATGCTAATTAATAAAAAGATGCTAATTAAAAATGATGTATAATAATTGTTGGGTTGGATTGGAAAAATAGAGAAAAAAATGTTCCCATTCAACATACCTACATACATTCTACATACCTCATTCAAACCGGCGATTTATTAAAATGTACTACAACTTCTTCTCAAACAATATATTTTAACGTCAAAAATAGTTTTATGGAACGATTCTCTTTAACCTTCTTTTATAAATGCCTCTTTATTTGGCATTTTATTCTCATTGTTGCTGTAATTCCAAAAAGTTTTATTTCTTAATACAAAACCATTTTGGAGAAAAAAATTTCAACTTTATTAGAAAAAGCGTCAAAATAACGATAAATTTACTACAAATTTTAAAATATTTAACCTGCTTTATTTGAGAAATGTAAAAAATACAATTTAAGCTAATCTAAAAAAGATACGATTATTTTAAATATTATCTTATTTAATAGTCTCACATTTAAAATGAGTTAAACGTTTAAAGCACATCGAAATAGCACCATTTTTTTTTGTTAAAAGTTATTCTTATAAAATACGTTTTATTTTAACAAAATGTATATTCCCTCTTACATATAGGACAATAATGCGAATTATTAAGACACTGTCTAAGACATTCAGCGTGAAAGAAATGTTGACAAGGCGTTACTCGAGCCCTTGTCATTTGCGTTAAACAAACAGCACATACATCGTCGCAATTTTCGATTTCGTCGTAAGAAGCACGCCGAAATCGCGCCAAAATTGCTTGTTCGTTTTTTAATTTCTTTAAACAGTTACATGCCATGTCTTTAGCTCGAACGTAAACCGTTAAATAAGCTGCCAATAAAGCGAATTTAAGTTGTCCGTAACACACCAATACGATTAATAGTAAAGCTGAAACGCTTATCGTATAATATCGTAATAAAACTGGAGCGTATAAAAGTTCTAAAGCTTCCAACGCGTTTATTTTCAAAAATATTAATAAATGAGGAAATAAATCGACGAAAAGTTTTTCAGTACACATGTAATAAGACCATGTAATAAATGTATAAGAAGCTGTTGGTCTATAATGTTCCAAGCCTTGTTCCAAACCAAAAACCAAAAGCATGAATGTAACAGTTATAATGAAGGTAATCGCTTTCGTCCATTCTAAAACGATTTTTGTTGCGGACATTGCAACATGTTTCAAATTGCCGTGTTGAGTCATGTTAACATACGGCGACCAGTCTTCTTTTTCGATTAATTCCTTGATGTACGAAATGCAGTAAGTGACGACGTTGTAGAACATTAAGGAGTAGAGACCGGTTACTTTTTTCTCTGGACAGCTTCGATTTCCGCTGGTCAGTGTACAAAGGAGTACTCGATCGCAAACCATGAAAAAAACCAACTGGATCAAACCAGTGTAAAAACGAATGAATGTTAAAAACAATGGAAAAAAATTAATTACTAATTTTAATTTACCTGATTAAGCATGTTGGATAAATGGGACATTTGCATGAAGAATTTTTCGCAACGATCTAATGGAGCGTAGATTTTTCTGAAAATGGTCCATATTGGTACAGCTATTTTACGAGCCAAACCTTAACAAAAAATAAAATTTAATTAATTAAATAACAATAAAAATTTTAATTTTTATGATTAAAAAACCGTTTGGTTTGGAATTTATGTTGACCTCGTTTTCATCGACTGAGTGAGATGGTGTTTTCACGATTTTGCAATTTGCCAAAATACTCGTGCTACTTGTACGGGCTAAATTTAAAACGAAAAAGCGTTTGATCCCGTTTCTATTGACATCTTAACTTATTGGAAAACGCACGCACAAAAGCAACTGTATAGGAAACTCTGTTATTACACGGAGTGTCTTGACGGTCGTTAGCATAAAATAATGAAAAAACCGTCGTCGTTGTCTTTCACACTTCGAACTTCTTAATTAACGATCGCGTAATAAATTGACGGGTCTGAAAATTAAGTTGGATCGAAAGAGGGGTTTTTGTAGAAGGTATATAAAAGAATTTTTTAGGGATGTTTAGGCACAGTTTGAGTTGATCACAACTTCGAGAAGCACTTAGGTAAGAAAAAGCATTTGTATTAATTTATTTTGTAAACAACTCCAAATTGGAGCGGTGTTATTTACGAAGTCCTCCCAAAATAGCAAAACGGTTAAAGCACTTTCTTTCTGGCTTTGGTCAAAAACAGCATTAACGTTTCGTTTCCGTTCAATACAAAAATACATTAAATGTTACTTACGAGGAATATTTTCTGCAAGTTTCTTCAACCACTTTGCTGGATAAATATAGTTTGCCGATACCACTACGGGAAGAACTAAACAAGAATACGTAGCCAAACACCATCCTCCTAAACTTAACAATAAGGGGGCATGACCTCTTGAACAATAAGGCAAAAGAAAAAGCACCGAAAGAAGGCACACTAAAACGAAAAAAAATTGACACATACGTTTTATTAATTACTCTAACTTACCAGTTTCTGCAATTCTTTCTTCTCTAACTTTTGGATCGAATCTATACAATTTATGAAGACTTCGCAATCTTCCCCTAACCCTTGTAGTCATCCCCATTTTATTAATTTAATTTTTTTTTACAAAACCCCACCGTCTCGGAGCACGATTATTGCGAGATTAACCTTGTTGTTGGAGATGTGAGCGGCGTCACGACGCTTCTATTTTCGGGTGGACGATGCCGTCGAATCGTATCCACTAAGTCAGTATCTTTTTCTTTGTATTTATCTTTTTTTCACCACCCCCGATCAAACGATTACAACAACTTGAACTAAAACGTCGAGCACAAAGAGTTCTTTGAACGTTTGAAATCGATGCATTATTACGAAAATGAACTCTCGGTTCCACGGACTTTGTCAAACTATAACTGGGACCAAAATACACGTACCAAGAGTATTTATAGTTGTAAACATGTTGTGGAGTTTTGAGGTAGTCGACGATTATTTTTTTTGGGTTGGGTTTGGTTTTGATGCGTGATTTGTGTGGGTGTGGTCATTCTTAAATAGAAAATGAACTGGATTGTTCAAATTAAATTAAGATTAAGAAGGAAAATTTTGATTCATTCCAAAAATATGAATCATTTCAAAATCAGAATGAATGTAATTATTAAAAGGAAACGAATCATCAATAAATAATCACGTTCCAAATATAATTTTCTGGAATACGAATTTGGCAGAAAATAAGAACGTGTTTATAACGTTTAAAACACAAACATTTTGAAATCATAAGTCAAAAATAATCATTATTAATTTTTGAAGTTGAAAATTAATTTGAATGAATTAATTTGATTTGTCAACCAAAGACGAACAGAAAAGCAACTCCCCGAAGACATAAAACGGTCTTGAGCTTTACGACTCGAGCTCTTGCACGCATTTTATTGCAAAACAAAAATACGAGTTAAGAGTAAAAGCAATGCCGTACGTTCAATACTATGGAGAGGAAGTTCGAAGGAAACGCTTTCAATTTATATTAAAAAAATATAAAAAACCCAAATGGAATTTCACGCAATCATTTTCATTCTTGGATGTGTTCACACCCGATTCTTTTGGTGGTAAGTTTTTAAACGACAACATCGACTAATCTAAAAAGAATCAAATCTAAAAAGTACTAATTAAAAAAATGACACTTTTCTTTATTATCTTATTTCTAATTTCAAATTTTTTTCGCAAGCAGCCCGATTCTTTTGGAGGTAAGTTTTTAAAAGACAACAACAATTAATATTTGTTCTTAAAAATAACACTTTTCTTTCCTATCTTACAATCTCTTTTTCTAATTTTTTGCGCAAGCAAAACTTAACAATGGCATCCAACATGATAACATCTCTTTTAATCGTCTGCATTGTTACCGGAAGTCTTCTTCGATTGTAAGTATTTTATATTCCGTCGGGTTGAATGCACCGATAAACATAACGACGACGTCGTGACGATTTAATCCCTTAACTTGGAACGTTTTAAACGGGAAACATAAAATACATAAAAACGACGAATTCGTTGTGCTACTTTAGGATACAAAAATTTTAAAGAAAAAACAATTTTATTTATTATTTTATTCCTTTTTAGCGGCGATGCCAGAAACACCTACGTTTGTAAACCCTGTAAATCACTTACAGATTGTGAACAAGAACCTAATGATTTTTGTCTTTGGGATGAAGTAAGAGATAACTGCGGAAGAAGGACGTGCGCCAGGGTACGTTATAATCCACATTTGTACAACGTATGAATGGTTTATTTGAAATTCCTTGTTATTTATAGGGTCCAGGTGAACGATGCGGAGGTCCCCTTGATATTTATGGAAAATGCGGTGAAGGACTTATGTGTAAACAAGACGAAAAGTGCCACGGATGTATGTTGAGCCCCACCGATTACAACTGCTTCCCTTAAATCAATTCGAATTTTGACCAGCAACTAAATTATTATCAGTATTATTATCTTGTGATCAGCTCTCAATTTTTTCTGTATTTTTTTTGTATTTATTTAAAAAAAAATGGACCATAACAAAACGATCTCTCAAAAAAAAAAATTAAATGTTAAGAACTCTTCATAAAATAAATATAACTTGTCTACTATATTTTAAATTGTTTCATTTTATAAAACCAAAAGATATTTCTTTGCTGTCATTACAACCTCGATACGAAAAACATTCGTGGTTGTTTCAACGGCAAAATTATTTTGCATATTCTTTTACAACCTACAATTTAATATTGTTGTAATTTTCAATTGTGTAACACTTTCACAACCTGGGGATATCACGAATATTAATAAGTATATATCATTATACGAAGTTTGTGAGAGGTTCGTTGGATTAGTTTAGGTCATCGCAAAGAATGAATCTTATTGTCTCAATTACACTCGTAATGATCAATCCTACGCTTATAAAAACGTACGTCATTTAAGAGTTGTCTAAATAATAATAAATTGGCTAAAATTTGTCATACAGGGTGTTTCTGTAAGTCGTGGCATAATTTTAATCACAAATATTAGAGTGAAAATGATGACGATTTGTGTAAAAATGTTTGATCTAAACTTATAAATGATCTATACTACTGTTCAAAGTGAAGAAATTTTGAAACATTTTCTTAAACATCGGGATCAATGCTATACAGGGTGTTCACAAAGGTTATTTCTTTAAAACTTTTTTATTATGTCATAAACCCTTAAATTTTCCAACTGATTCTAAAAACCTATTTTATTTTAAGATTATTTTCACTCTTAGAAATTTTTGATTAGACGCATTGTTTATTTGCAAAAAGATACAACCTCGATTTTGATTTGTTTTCATTAATCGTAGGGACCTATGGAAACAAATTGTAAGTAAAGACAACCTGATAGATAAACATTTCTAAATATCGAAAGACATTTACGTGAAACAGGAAATTTAAAACAGAAGTATGTAAATAACAGGAATCTAGGGTCAGTTCGTACACCCCAACTGGAAAAAAACATTTTGGATTTTGTGGCAGATCGTAGTACTGCTAGTACTGTTGATAGCAACAGTTTAGACATTTCAGAATATCCAGCAATTGTATCCATCTATTAAACTACAATTAGAACTAAAACTAGAACTAACACTAGACACTTTCTGGTTTTGCGGTGCGTCTTTTAAGAAAAGGTTTGACGTTTCGGATGCCATGTTGCAACCTTCTTCAGAAACTGGTTCGAAGTGCCTTAAGTGTTTCACTCCATTTCAAACCATGAGACAGCGGCAATGGGAAAAGGAGCCAAAGATGTCGTTAATGTAAAGAAGGTACAACAGAGGCCCCAGGTGGCTGCCCTGAGCTACACCAAAAGAGATTGACAAGGCACGTGAACAAAATCCACCAAACCGTACAACAAGAGTCCGTCCCGAGACGTAAGAGGTAAACCAGTCCAGCAAATATCCAGTAACACCAGCGCGATGCAGTTTATCGCATAACAACTTATGATCTACTTGTCAAATGCTTTGCTAAAGTCCGTGTATACCGCGTCTACTTGGATGTTGTTGTCTATGGAAGAGTACAGAAAGTCAATATACTCGAGCATGTTCGTCTCGACCGTGTTGATTGACATTAATAGTATTTTTCAACTGAAAAAATAGTCTCGAGTACATCAACCTCAGTTCAAATACCTTTCCAAATAAGGGCAAAATAGAAATTGGACGGTAGTTCTTGGCCAGGTGTCGGTCACCAGATTTGTAAACTGGTACAATATTCGCGCGTTTCCACGCCAAGGGAAAGACTCCAGTAGTGATGGACAAATTAAAAATTTTCATAAGAGGAATGGAAAGAGCAGCAGCACAGTTAATAATAAGGACTGAAGGAATACCATCTGATCCAGGACTAAGTTCAAGCTCAAGCTCAACCTCAGTCCCGGTAAGAGCCCCCCGGTATGTAATATACATACATAATTACTGATTTATAGCTACGATACTTACAAGAGATAAATGAAGCCGTCTTCTATCCAAACATCTTGATTTGAATTTAAGTGTTGCAAAGATTACAGGAAATAGAAAACGTAAAAAAANACAGGAAAAACTGATTTGCAAATAGACAGCAGTCCGTCACGCCAAAGAAAGGATAGTGTCATGGAACCTATATCAATTAGTGAGGTTCAAAACGCAATCACTGCGTCAAAACATGGAAAGGCATCAGGGATTAATGACATACCATCGAAAGTATTCAAGATAGAAGTATTCATTATCACCAATATTGATGTTAGAGCTTGGAACAAGATTTGTCCTAAATTTTGTTGATATTTAGCCCGACTTTTGCACACGCCTCCTGTATACGTTCAGCATCAGTTTTATCTCTCCAAGGCTATCCGAAATAAGAACTATATCGTCCGCGTAGCGCAAATTATTTAGGTATTGCCATCAATGTTTATACCGTTTTGGGTCCAATCCAGTTGTTTAAATGCACTCTCCAGGACTGTGATGAACAATTTGGGTTCAACATTATATCGCCTTGTCTTACCCCACGCTCATTGTAGCATTCTTGTAAATGTTATAAATAAGTTTGGTGTCTCGATAATGGATTCTGCATTACTTGCAAACCTGCCATCAACTCAATTTAAATCAAATTTTATAAATACCTCTAAATACCCATCTTGGGTAAATATCCCCGGGTATTTATCCAAGGAATTTTCCCTTGAAAATAAATACTCGGGTATTTAACAACACTGCTGTGATCTAAACCCATAAATGGCTAAGATATGGGCCTTCAAAGTGAAGAAATTTTGAAACATTTTCTTAAACATCGGGATCAATGCTATACAGGGTGTTCACAAAGGTTATTTCTTTAAAACGTTTTTATTATATCATAAACCCTTAAATTTTCCAACTGATTCTAAAAATCTATTTCATTTTAAAATTATTTTCACTCTTAGAAATATTTGATTAGACGCATTGTTTATTTGCAAAAAGATACAACCTCGATTTTGATTTGTTTTCATTAATCGTAGGTACCTATGGAAACATATTGTAAGTCAAGACAACCTGATAAATAAACATTTCTAAATATCGAAAGTCATTTACGTGAGACAGGAAATTTAAAACAGAAGTATGTAAATAACAGGAATCTAGGGTCAGTTCGTACACCCCAACTGGAAGAAAACATTTTGGATTTTGTGGCAGATCGTAGTACTGCTAGTACTGTTGATAGCAACAGTTTAGACATTTCAGAATATCCAGCAATTGTATCCATCTATTAAACTACAATTAGAACTAAAACTAGAAACTTTCGGGTTTTGCCGTGCGTCTTTTAAGAAAAGGTTTGACGTTTCGGTTGCCATGTTGCAACCTTCTTCAGAAACTGGTTCGAAGTGAAACACCTAAGTCACTTCTGATGAGTTCCTATTTAGGACGTTTTTGCCAAGTGTATAATTATAAGAGATATGATTCTGTTTTTTAGTAAACGTTATAGTTACACACTTAGAGATATTTAAACAAGACAGTTATCAGAACAGAACCTGCATAGATCGTCAAGGTCACTCTGGAATTTGGCGCAATCATTTACACTATAAATAGGGTGAAACAATTTAAGGTCGTCAGCATACATGAGACAGCGGCAATGGGAAGAGGAGCCAAAGATGTCGTCAATGTAAAGAAGGAACAACAGAGGCCGCAGGTGGTTGCCCTAAGGTACACCAGAAGAGATTGACAAGGCACGTGAACAAAATCGCACGGCAAGAGTCCAGTCCAGCAAATATCCAGTATCACCAGCGCGATGCAGTTTATCGCATAACAAGTTATGATTTACCTTGTCAAATGCTTTGCTAAAGTCCGTGTATACCGCGTCTACTTGGATGTTGTTGTCAATGGAAGAGTACAGAAAGTCAACATACTTGAGCATGTTCGTCTCGACCGAGCGGCCAGGATAAAAATCGTATTGATTGATATTAATAGTATTTTTGAACTGAAAAAATAGTCTCGAGTACATCAACCTTTCAAATACCTTTCCAAATAAGGGCAAAATAGAAATTGGACGGTAGTTCTTGGCCAGGTGTCGGTCATTCGCGCGTTTCCACGCCAAAGGAAAGACTCCAGTAGTGATGGACAAATTAAAAATTTTCATAAGAGGAATGGAAAGAGCCACAGCACAGTTAATAATAAGGACTGAAGGAATACCATCTGATCCAGGACCCTTGCCGGGTGCCATCCCTTTAAGCTCAACCTCAGCCCCGGTGCCTTACTATGATGGAAAAATTTACTATTGATGCTGTGTTTTTAGAAAAAAGTACTTTTTACAGATAACTATTAATTTGAGAAATGCTGAAGAATAATTGTACTGAAGAAAATCCATATTTTATGCTACCTTGAGTAATAATTTCGAAAATAGGCTTTCAGAATAAAAAATGTAATAGTTTATGATATAATAAAAAAGTTTTAAGGAAATAACCTTTGTGAACACCTGTATAGTTTAAAAAATAAGAAATCTCAGAGACGATGAAAATCGTCGATGATTCATCGTCTCTGAGATTTCTTATTTTTTAAATAATTTTACGATGAACCTGGAAATAACTTTAACTAAACCCTGTATAGTATTGATCCCGTATTTGCATTTATTCAAAAGTGATCTTGAACGATTTGTTATGATAACATTGCACTATTTGCCAAATTTTATCTTTCTAATGAAGTATTATATTATATTATTTATCTTCTAAGACAAATTATATTGAAAATATTTAAGAAAATGTTTAAAAAATTCTTAACTTTGATGGCCTATGTCTTAGCCTATATCTTAGCTATATCTTATGGGTTTAGACTTTAGACCAAACATTTTTATACAAAATGTCATGACTTTCACTCTACTATTTGTAATTAAAATTATGTCAGAAACACCCTGTATAGGTAAAGTTATAAATTTACAATAAAAATAAAGAAAACTACTTTGAGGTCTACCACCAATTTATTTTTGATGGCGCAATATTAATGCGGATGATTACGGGTGCAATAAGTGCTTTAAAGAATTCATTAATGTTCAATGGAGCGTTTTAAGTAAGAAAGGGAGAATAGCAAGAAAAAAGAAAATATTAGTTAGACTATAATGTTTTGTAAAAAGTTATGAAGAACTGGAAAGTTCACAGACCATATTTTGTATGTGGTTGGGTTGAATTTTCAAGTCCTATTTCAGTCCTATTTGGAAGTTGGTTCTTATTCCAACTGTTGGTCGGTGGAATAACTCTGTAAGTAGCATATATAGGTCTAAAATATTGACACCACCCTTGATAGAATTGTACGAAGTGATGGCGTCGAAGATTCAATCTTTCTCATAACTAAATATGCTGGTTATTATTTCCATCCTTAAACAACAATAAAGTCTTGGGGCAACTAAATTATAGAGTAGCTCCATAAATTAATTATTAAACTAAAGGTTTAGCCACTCCTTTTATCATCTCACATGGCTTATCGCTGACACAGAATGTAAGTACATATCTTCAGGCTGCATTCCACATTCTCTTTGACGCTATGGCATTTCTGACAGTTTTACAGAAATTTTTCCATCATGTCCCAAAATGGAGCAATCTTCTCGACTTACAGATTATTAAGTAAGATTAGATTATTAAGTCTTGAAGAGTTTTGAGAGTCTTGAAGAAATTTTGTTATGTTTCTCTCTTTCATTTCTTCAATACTTGGACAACAATACTTAAATAATTATTATTCCTAATAATTAGGATATCAATGCGCCATGGTTTTTTTATAGAAATGAAGTTACTTTTGCATTTTTAAATGGTACTTTTATATGTATTGAAAAAACCTCTTTGTTTCAGAAAAATGGTCTTTTTGTCCATTAATAGATAGTGCAATCAAATTAGAAAAAGATTAGTTATAAACACTAAAAAATGTTTTATTAAGTTGTGTTTTGTTGGTCTTTGTATAGTAGACGCCACGAGAGCTGGCAGTAAATCATCGTTTTCCGCTCTTACAAATTCCATACGTAGTAAATTAAAATTCATAAACTGTTAGAGAGTAATGTGTGTTAGAAAGAGATAACATTAGTTTAATATGTCTGCTGTACAATTCAAAAAGTGCGTCTATTCTTCTATATAGCTATATGTAATGATAACCCCAAATCGAAACATCTTGTGAGCGTTGTCATAAATCTTTTAGTGTAATATATCTGTGTCTATATAATTATTATTTCATTATATTATTAAGAGTTTATTATATACAGTAATTGTTTACAATTCTTTACATTATTCAAATATTACTTTCACTCTCTACCCTCTTCCTCCATTTCCACGCCCTCGTCTCCTCGGCCCAATCATCCCCTCACCCATCCCTTTGTCTCCTCACCCCCATCACCATTCTCATCCATCGTTTCCCCTCTCCCCCCTCTCCTAAGATCTGCCTTCGGTCCATCTCCTCCTCCCTCAACTCACTGCACCCATTCAGCATGTGTTCTAATGTTTCCCATTCCTCCCTGCACAGCCTACACCACCTCTCCTCATCGGCCATCCAGTATTTGTTGGCTCTCTCCTCGTTTCCACAACGGAACCTAGCCACCAACTTTTTCCCTTCCTCATCTCTTTCCAATAACAAGTATCTAGGCAGCCCCTCCGTAATTATGTCCCTGTATCTTTCGTTATACCTTCCCTCTTTTATTTGTGTCCTTCTTTCCTGTCTCTGCACATCTCGGTCCCTGTCTCTCAACTCCCTCCACATCTCCCTTCGTCTACTATTTATCTCCGTTACCGAGTAGCCCGCTCGTCTATAATAGTTGTCTCTGTGTCCTTTCCCATATCTGACCTTTCCCTCTCTAATTTCCCTCCAACACTCCCCCAGGATCCCGCAGCTTGGCCTCCCTTCTATTCTTTCTTCATATTTCACTGCCCTCCTGCCCGCCTCCACCCTGACCGTATCCACCTTTACCTCTTCCCTCACTATATACCCCGGTGTTTCTCTCGCCACCCCAAGCACCCATCTCCAATATCTAGCCTGCACGTCCTCTAGCGGTCCCTGCTCCCTCCATCCCCATACCTCTGCCCCATACATCATCACACTGCTAACCAGACCTTCAAACATAATCTTCCTCGCTGCCACATTCCTTCCAAAGACTCTCTTCCCCCAACCCCATACTTGTCCCATCACCTTATTCGCCTTTTTTGCCATAGCTATCACATGCGACCCCTCCCTGTTATCCTCCCTAAACACATACCCCATGTAAGTATACTCCCTAACCTCCTCGATCTCCTTTCCCTCCCATCTCCAGTTTTCTGTTCTTTTTCTCCCACCCTTACAAAACTTCATCATCCTTGTCTTCCCCACATTTACTTCCAGCCCCTTCCCCCTAAAATATCTTTCCAATGTCTTTATCATCTCCTTCATCTCCACCACTTCTCTCGCCATGACCACGATGTCGTCCGCGTATGCTAACATATGCACCTTTCTACCTCCCACCACCAATCCTCCCATCTGCCCCTTCCCCAATCTTTCCTCCAGGTCCGCCGTATACAGTGTAAACAGACTTGGGCTCAGCGGACATCCCTGCCTCAGTCCCTTCGTCGTCCAGAACACGTCGCTCAGCTTATCTCCCACTTTTATCCTAGCCATCGTCTCCATGTATATTTCCTTCACTCTCGGAATTAGGTGTTCCGTTATCCCCCTCCTCCCCATCTCCTCCCACAACTTCCCCTTATCCACCTTATCAAAAGCCGCCTTCAAATCTATAAACAGGGCGTACAATTTCCCTCCCTTCTTATCCAGCTCTCTATCTGCCAAATGCTTCAACACATACACGTTGTCGATTGCTCCCCTTCCCTTCCGAAAGCCTGCCTGCCCATCCGGCAAAATTCGCCCCAACTCCATCTCCTCCTCCAATCTTCCCAGCAGTATCTTCGTGTATACCTTGTATGCCGAGTCTAGTAGGTTAATTCCCCTGTAGCTCTCTACACTTCCCTTATTACCCTTTTTATATACTGGGCAAATTACCCCCACTTTCCATCCCTCCGGAATCCCAGCCCCTCTCCATACGATATTCATCCCCTCCAACAACTTCACTCGCACCACCCTTGATGCTTCCAACCATGCTTCGTTATGTATCCCATCTTATTTCATTATAATTAACTCAGAAAATCTTCTTTAGCATTTTAAAAATTCAAACATGTAAATTGTTTTGTATATTTTTGAATATTCATTGTAATGACAAAAAGGTTTTTAACTCTATTTAAAAATTTTTTATGGAACTGTAATACGTAAAAGATTTGTCACGTTTAATGATCAAGTTGTTGACATGAGGTTTAAAGTGTGAAATTAAAACGCATTGTTTTTTACATTTACTTACACGTGGATGTCGAAATAAGTAAACTACATAAACTTTAATGTACTCAGAAAAACACTTTATTATAAGCCACATTTATAAACGAGCTAACGATACATGCTAACTTTAAAATTTATGAATTATAAATAGCTTGGTAAGAATATCTCTAAGTAAATTACCTTAATACCAATTTAATTGTATTAATTATTAATACCGTTCTAAGAAGATTAAAATATGGATTTTTATAAAGTTTTGAGACTAGAGACGAATTAAAAAATAAATGGTTATAATAACAATTAATTCCTGCCATCTTTTATAAAATATTTTTTTAACTTTTTTTATTTTTATAATTTATTTTTATGTTATTCATGGGGATTCCGGAACAGATTTGTTCTTCTTTTGCCTTCTTCTTACCAAAAACCCTCGAACGCCCGCTTGGATTTTAGTGGCAGATTGTTGTTCAAGATCGGTTGGTTTCTTATTGGAGTTTTTATTCGGATCCATTCTTCCAGAACTTTTACGTCGACAAATTCTTTTTATCCCGTTTGATTTAGGCGAAATAGTCTAAAAGCAAGAACGTTTTATATCAATGTTTCTCCGACACGATGCACGCGTAACTAAACCACAAAGAAACGTTATAAAGGAAATTTAGAACACGTGACACATTGCACTGTGTGGATGACAAAATGATCTCGTTAAATTAATTCAATCAAGGACGACCCACATTCAATCGTACTCGACCTCACCATTTTACTTCCTTTAACCATTTCAATTCAACAATAATCATTGTTCAATTTTTCAATGTTAAAAACTAAAAGAGAGCAATTAAAAACTGTTTATTTATATTCTGACTGAATTTGGAATTGTTTATACTCCCTTAATTTTTTTTTTTTGAACAATAAAGATACAAGTTTTATTGCGAAATAAAAGAGTTTATTACCTTTATAAATCTTGGATGCGTTACAAATTTTAGAACCTTTATTATAATTGTTATCTCAAAAAATAATTAATTTCTTTTAACTTGTTATGATCTTTCGTAATTAATTTTGGAATTTTTCATTCAATTCAATTCTTCAGGAACGATTTTAATGATTTCTTTAATTGTTATTTTGTAATTATGTGCAAAATACGATAAATTCGCGAGCACGTCAAACAAAATTAAATCCTAATATTAGAATCAGTATTTTTAGTGTACAGGAGCGTTCCCGCTTACGCAAATTCGGCGATGTTCGTCCGTTTCGGCTGTCAACGCTTTGTGGTTTTTGAGATTTTTTTCGAATTCGCGAAAACCTATACGTTTGGAATTCCAGAACAAATCGGTAAAAACGTCATCGAATCATTTTAACTAGACATTTGGAATCCAATCCATTTAGATCCAACCAAGTTGCACACTAATATTTAGATTTAAGTGCAGGTAAAAATAAACGAAACGAATTATGTCGAAATTTCTCGCATTTAAGCCAAAAAGATGTCGTTTTAAGATCTTAATTTGTAAACGAACAATTTTTTTAATTATCTTGTTATAACAAAATTACTTAATTGGGAATAATTTTTTTAATTATTTTAATTTAATATTAATAGGAATTAAATTACTCAAGAATACCAACAAAACGAAAAGATAACTATTTCTGTACTGAACCAGATGGCCATAGAAGCCCCATATATAGAACAGCGTCTAACGATCTAAACAATACAGCTTCAATTCAAATAAAATAATTCATTTCTAAAAAAAATTTAAACTTACCTTATTCTTCAATTTCTTCCTGACTTGGTATCCCCTGAAGCTCGCCTGAATCTTTGTCGCAGCCTGCTGTTCCGGTGTCTTCTTAATGATGGAGGAATTGTTGCGTTTGACCGTATCCATGACGACGACCGATTCAGCGCGCTGCTGATGTTCGTTTTGATCGATATCCGCTTGATCTCGGGCTGAAGCACAATTTTGCGCTTGCGCGCCAGATAAAGTCGTTCCCGTCACGAACGCAGCACCTGCTGAACACGAAACATTCGCCTTCGTACTTACTCGTCATTTGCCGCGCAAACTAAACAGTGCCAGGCGTCAAAAACTTGATGATTACAACGGAAAAAAAAAGAAAGGATGACACAAAAAAGAAATGAATATCGATTTGAGTAAAAAATCGAAACTGCGTGACGGCGGTTTGTGTGGGCTTCGCACGAAAATAGCACCGAGTTACTAAATTATTCAATGGCGTTCGATTTCGTAAGGGTACTCGGTTCGAAATAGACACGTGCCCTTGATTGAAATAAAAATTAGTATCCAGTAGGAAGAAAGCGGTTGTAGGCGGTGCGAGTGAGATGGAATGTGAATTTTACTTACTATGATTACAAATACTCGACCTGCTGATTGGCTCATTTCCAATGCCAAAGGGAGAGCCGATGTAGGTGAAGAACCATCAACCACAGAGATGTTGCATTGAACTGATGGATGAGGTGATGATGGTTTATTATGTCTCGAATCAATATTTGATTCACAATTTAGCTCTTCGGTCGATGACCCAGAACTTCCCAAGTTTCCTCTAATTGGGACTGAATCATATTTTATACCATTCGCTTTTTGGAAAGCTTTTGAAAAAGCTTTTTCTTGATCGCTCGAAGCTATCAGTTTTGGTGAATCACCCTGACGATGTAAATAAAACGGCTCCGACTTTGACTCTGATACTGAATCTGTTTCTTTTATTACATCGTCTTCAAAATAAATGAAACGGAAATTAAGTTATTAGAAAAAAAGATATAACGTCACCCTAATTAGCAAACTTCGTAACTCCCAAATGACAAAATTTGTAGGAAACAAATAAATTTATCTATCTTTACAGTTTTTCAACAAGGACAGTCTCTATTCATATGTATAACTGTAAGTAGCTAGTTTATCAGTTATATCAATATTTTTAAAGATCCATACAATACTTAGGTGTTACAATGGAGTTACGAGGTTTTTCCATTAAATCCCAAAGTATCTGGAGTTACGAGGTCATAACATCATTAGAAATGATGACGAAATAGTTTTGTTGATGATCAGTGTTTACTTATTTGAAATTAAACAGAAAGGTACTTCAAAAAAATATTTAAAAAAATATATATTTCTTAGAACTTGCATTAATTTCACTCTGAAAAACAAAATTTTAATGATGCTGTAAGTTATCATAGAATGTGTGGTAATCAGACAGCATGTGGTTTTTAATGCCTGGAGATGTTGAAACTTTTCTTGGTTAATTTTCAATTTTTCTTGATAGAGTTGATAGACTTGATAGACCTTTTTGTTAGCTCTAATTGGGAGAGGCTGCCAGTCCTCAGTGTGTCGAAGCTTAAATTCAAGTGTACCATTTGGGTTATAACGTAGTTCACGCAAGTCAGTTGCAGTAGGATCTCCTGATCTTTTTCCTGGCCTAATAGAAGGTATAGACTGCATGCTGCTAAAATTTCAGAAAAAACTGTACTCTAAATATTTTACTTGATATGGTTCTAGTCGTTTACGAGCTTTTTGAACATGTGACAAGTAAACTAAAGTTAGAACTAAAACTAGAACTAACACTAGAAACTTTCGGGTTTTGCTGTGCTACATCGAATGTCCCACTAACGAAAGACGAAACCTCTGTGCTCGCCAAAGGATTGAACTACGCAATCGCCCCGAAGAAGGTCCCAAAGGAGGAAATCATCTGCGAAGTGGAAGCAGCTGTTCGAGGGATGCCCGCACTGAAAGCCGAAGAGATCCGACAAGAAGTTGCGAGAGTATTGAAGTCAGCAAAACCACCAAAATCCAACTTGACGGTTGGTGAAAAGAAGACACTCCGATCTATAAAAGAAAAATCAGAAATCGTCGTGTTACCAGCAGACAAGGGTTGTTATGGACAGGAAAGAATACGACGACAAAATGATGAACCTACTGGACCCAGCCACCTACAGGAAGATCAAGAAGGACCCCACAGACAAAATCGTAAGGAAAATGAAGGAACTGATAAAATCCACAGGAATTCCAGCAGAACAGCAGAAAGGTTTGTTTGTGCAGGCGCCGGTACCACCAAGAATCTACGGACTACCGAAGATTCACAAACCAGACGTCCCCCTCCGCCCTATCGTCAGCGCCATCAACTCCCCAACATACCAGCTGGCTAAACATCTTGCAAAGATTCTGTCCCCCTTTACAGGTAACACGGAATCGTATGTCAGGGATTCTACACATTTTGTGGAATCGGTAAAAGGTGTAAAGCTGGATGCTGGGGATATGTTGGTAAGTTTCGATGTGGAATCCCTTTTTACTAGGGTACCAGTTAAGGATGCTGTAGAGGGTCTTCGCCGAAAACTCATTCCGGAGGGTTTACCAGGATACGTGCCAGATCTGGTGGAGTATTGCTTATCGTCGACGTATTTCAGCTGGAAAGGAGAATTTTACGAGCAGTTCGAAGGGGCAGCCATGGGATCTCCACTATCGCCAGTTATAGCTAATTTCTACATGGAATTATTCGAAGAGGACGCTTTGAAGAAGAGCCAGTGGAAACCAAAACTATGGCTCCGATATGTGGATGACACGTTTGTGATATGGCAACATGGTCAAAAACGGCTCCAAGAGTTCTTGGATCACTTGAACTCTCAACATCCTATGATTAAGTTCACCATGGAAACAGAAACTGCCAAAAAACTACCTTTCCTAGATGTGTTGGTCACCAGGACGACAAATGGAGATATAGAACTTGGTGTATACCGAAAGAAGACCCATACCAACAGGTATTTACAGGCATGTTCACATCATCATCCCCAACAGAAGAGGTCCGTGATCCGTACATTATTTCAGCGAGCAGCGAGACTATGTGAAGGAGAGAACTTGAAGAAGGAGCAACACTTTCTACGAGGCGTGCTGCAGAAGAATGGATACACTTCGAGGGACATCAACCAGGCCATCAAGCAGCGAAAGCAGAAAGAGGACACGGTAAGTACAAAACCACTTGGATTTATCTGTCTTCCCTATGTTTCAGGTGTAACGGAACGAATTGCTAGGCACCTCAAGAAGAACGACATCGTAGTGCGGTACGGCACGGTCAGCAAAATTCGGAACACACTCCCGATAGCCAAGGACAAACTAACTCCATTAAAAGGAGCGGGAGTCTATCGACTATCGTGTAGTTGTGGGAAGGTTTATGTTGGCCAAACTGGACGCAACGTCGAGTGCCGCATCAAGGAGCATGAGAGGGATGTAAGGCTGAAGAAGATCCAGCAGTCGGCGGTTGCGGAACATTGCCATGCAGAGGGGCACCGAATAGACTTCGAACAAACAAAGGTGCTGGCTAGGGACAACAGATACTACCAAAGACTGACAAGAGAAGCCATAGAGATCCACCGACATAAAAATAACGTCAACAGAGAGGATGGCTGGGAGCTTAGCAGAACTGTAGAGTTCATACAACTGTTGTATGGACTGCCATTGTGGTTCGAGATATAATTTCTTAGATGCTCATCTGCAGTAATGCGACTCCATCTTTGCCAAAGTTTCAAAAAATAGTTTAAGGGAATCTATTCTTGTAACATCCAATTTTCTCCTTTTCTTTTGACTTGGGTCCTCATTTTTCCGGTTTGTCTCAGTTTCTATAGCTTCGTCAGCTTCTTTTTTTTTCATCTTCTTCCTTTTCACGTTTCCAGGAACGTGCTGTCCATTCTCCTATTCCCAGTGAATTAAGAAACATTTTTTTGCATACTTTGAGTGGTTCATTGTTTTTTTCATAAATAGTAACTAAAGCTTTTACCCTTCGTGAGTTCTCCTCTTCTTTTCGATCTCTATGTCGTTGAGTTTCTTTTCTTTCCAACTCAATTTCCAAAAACTATGGAATTCTGATTTTCTATCCTCGTCAGAAAATAAATAACATTTTAAAGCAGACTTTTTTGCTGAATCTTTATTTTTGGTAGATTTTTTGCTTTGGAAGTATTCCCATTTCCCATCAACAATCTTTTTTCCTTTATACGAGTCGCCTAGCTCTCTTCTTCTTTTATTCTGCTCCCTCTTCCAGTTGCCTTCTTTAACGTGTCTTCTTTTCAGTCTTTTTCTTCGCAAAGGCTCTTCGTTTTCCACATTTTCTTCTTCGCTATTCAAGTCTTCAGTAGGTCGATCTGGATCTTAGGCTGTTGATGTTTTAGTAGTATTTTGATCACACTGCTTTTCACAATTTCATCCCTAGAAATATCTTATGATGAGTTAGGCTCCAAATCTTTTTCTTTGCAACTTTGAACTACAGCAGGTTGATAATCTGTGTCTTCAGTTTGTGACGCCTCATTGGCATTTTTCTCAGTAACTTCTATGTTTTCGTCTTCCAACGTATCTTTAGATAAGAAGTATACTTCACTAACTTCTATCTCCACATCTTGTAAATTCCTTGCTGTGTTCTGTTGATTGGATTTAGAAGTTCTTGAACTACAGTATATTCCACAATGTTACGTAGTTGAGAATCCACGAAAATTGCGAGCTTTTGAAGAGCCATGTCTAGAATTTTTTGTGCACGGGACACCATCTCCGAAAATAAGACAAAACCGTAACAGTTGGCACTTGCCAAAAGTAAATAGATTTAAAAAAACACAAACATTTACTTCAAAAGTTACTTAAAACAATATAAATGTACATTATCTTGTTAGAATTAGGGCAAATTAGGGCTCACGGTTGACTACGACAACACCTAATTTAACATTACACACAACTATAACCTCAATTTTAGCTTTGAAGATTTTAACTACGATAAACTAAATAAACTAACATGGAATTACGATGTTTGATCACAACGTAGCTACCAAATCATAGCTAATTAAGGTGACGATATCTCACATCCTTTTAAAAGAACAATACAAACATCATTTCATTTCTTAATTATTATTACTCACCTGGTTGCGTGTCTTCTTCTGGTAATGAAGGTAATGACCTTGAAGTAGAACAATTTACTTCGGTAGGACTTATTGATTTTCTTCCCTCTACATCTTCACCTAAATAAAAAATTAAATTTAAAACTAACTCTATTTTTTTTTGTATTCAAACAGTTACCAAATCCAAGATGTTCCAATTTATATATTTTGTAATTATCTGTTATATTACCATTAGAAATTGGAAAAGTAGGTGCTTTAAAAGTTGACATATATAAATTTGTGGTTCCATGATCCATGCTCGATTCAGAATTATTATTGCTGGATTTTAACTCATTTTCTCCGATATCAGCATCTAAAAAAAATATATTCATAGATTGAATACACCAATATACTATCTAGTTAACGCACCTTCCGAAACAGATTCAAGAGTTGATGGTTGTTTGGTTGTTATTTCTTTGCGATTTCGTATGTTAGACTCAGATTTACTATCTGCATTTAAACTTGCATTCTTTGTATTTATTTGATTCTGGAATATAATAAACATAAATAATAGGATAATATCTGCATCTTAAGAATTTTAATAACAAATTTATTCTTACCTCTTTGATATTTTGGTTTTCTTTAAGAGTTAGAGGATCCTGCAACGTGGATTTTAATATTTTATCTTTACCCTCTATTTTAACATTGATTTTTTCCAAGCCTTCAGTATTTATATTTAAATTGCTGTCAGAAGATTGGTTTGCTTTAATCGAATTGGTTTCATCTTTTTTGTCACTTTTATTTTTATTTTCTGTATCATTTGATTCAATGTCCTTTCTTAATTCAATATATTCAATTTTTTGCGTATTATCATTTTGCAACTGTATATCATGGGATTTATTATTTGGCGTAACAGCAATTCTGTTTTCTCCATCAGATTTCGATTTATTTTCTTCTGTTTCATTGATTTTACTTTTTCCATTAATTTCCTTGGTTAATTCTTGGGCTTCTTCGGCAACATCTACTTTTGAAGCATTAATTTTTTCAGAGGTTTTATCTTCCTTTTTTAAATGTTCTGGTTTATCATTATTCAAGATTCCATCATTAGATTCATTTTTCTTGTTTTTGTTTCCGCCATCTATTTCGTCTGTATTTGTATCTTGTTCCGTTTCATTTACACCTTTTTTCTTTGATAATTCATCATCGCCTTTTCGGTCCTGAGTTGAAATTATATCAGTTGTGGTCAAATGATGGGTTGATTCATTTTGGTTTGGCAATTCAATTTTTTCAGAATACAATTCTTCTTGTTGTGTTTTTTCTACATTAGATAATTTTGTGTCATGTTTTTTTAAAGAAAGTATATCATGGATTGGTTCATCATTTTTTGGTGATTCATTCCTATTATCAGAACTTTCACAAGGAATCATTTCAACCTTTTCCAACTTCAAGTCATCTTTTTGAGTCTCGTCGTTTATTTGTCCAGCTTTTTCTATGTTACATAATTTGGTGTTATGTTTTTCGTTTTTTGTAGAAGAAACTAAGTCATCATTTGATTTATCATTTGAATCTTGTGCTGGAGTTTCCTTTTTCGTTTTTTCCAATTTTAATTCATCTCCTTTCTGTGATTTAGTGTCCACTTCCGTTGCTTTCACGGTGTTAGATAACTCTATAACATCATTATTAACGTTTTCTATAGAAGAAACATCATCATGAGTTGATTTATCACTCCTTGATGATTCGCCAGTATTTGAATGTTGTGCTGGAGTTTTTTCGTTTTTTTCCAATTTCATTTCGTCCCCTTTTTGTGATTTAATTTCCACTGCTTTCTCAGTGTTGGCTAACTGTACAACATCATTATTACCGCTGCCTGTAGAAGAAACTACATCATGAGTTGATTTATCACTCTTTGAGGATTCTCCAACATTTGAATCTTGTGCGGAAGTTTCTTCGTTTTTTCCCAATTTCAATTCGTTTCCTTTTTGTGATTTAGTTTCCACTTCTGTTGCCTTCTCAGTGTTAGATGACTGTATAACATCGTTATTAATGTTGTCAGTAGTAGAAATTACATCATGAGTTGATTTATTACTTCTTGATGATTCGCCATCATTTGAATTTTGAGATGGAGTTTCTTCGTTTTTTTCCAATTTCAATTCGTGTCCTTTTTGCGATTTAGTGTCTACTTCCGGTGCTTTCTCGGTATTAGATAACTGTATAACATCCTTATTGACGTTTTCTGTAGAAGAATCTACATCATGAGTTGATTTATTACTCTTTGATGATTTGCCATTATTTGAATCTTGAACTGGAGTTTTTTCGTTTTTTCCCAATTCCAATTCGCCATCTTTTTGTGATTCCATTTCCGCTACTTTCTCAGTATTAGATAACTNTTCAACCTTTTCCAACTTCAAGTCATCTTTTTGAGTCTCGTCGTTTATTTGTCCAGCTTTTTCTATGTTACATAATTTGGTGTTATGTTTTTCGTTTTTTGTAGAAGAAACTAAGTCATCATTTAATTTATCATTTGAATCTTGTGCTGGAGTTTCTTCGTTTTTTTCCAATTTTACTTCCTCTCCTTTATGTGATTTAGCGTCCACTTCCGCTGCTTTCTCAATGTTAGATGACTGTATAATATCGTAATTAATGTTGTCTGTAGTAGAAATTACATCATGAGTTGATTTATTACTTCTTGATAATTCGCCATCATTTGAATCTTGAGCTGGAGTTTTTTCGTTTTTTTCCAATTTTAATTCATCTTCTTTCTGTGATTTAGTGTCCACTTCCGTTGCTTTCTCGGTATTAGATAACTCTATAACATCATTATTAACGTTTTCTGTAGAAGAAAGTTCATCATGAGTTGATTTATCACTCCTTGATGATTTGCCATCATTTGAATCTTGAGCTGGAGTTTCTTCATTTTTTCCCAATTTCAATTCGTTTCCTTTTTGTGATTTAGTTTCCACTTCTGTTGCTTTCTCAGTGTTAGATGACTGTATAACATCCTTATTGACGTTTTCTGTAGAAGAATCTACATCATGAGTTGATTTATTATCCTTTGATGATTCGCCAACATTTAAATCTTGTGCGGGAGTTTCTTCATTTTTTCCAAATTTCAATTCGTTTCCTTTTTGTGATTTAGTTTCCACTTCTGTTGCTTTCTCAGTGTTAGATGACTGTATAACATCGTTATTAATGTTGTCAGTAGTAGAAATTACATCATGAGTTGATTTATTACTTCTTGATGATTCACCATCATTTAAATCTTGAGCTGGAGTTTTTTCTTTTTTTTCCAATTTCAATTCATCTCCTTTTTGTGATTTAATGTCCACTTCCGCTGCTTTCTCAATGTTAGATAACTGTACAACATCATTATTGAGGTTTTCTGTAGAAGAATCTACATCGTGAGTTGATTTATTACTCTTTACTGATTTGCCATCATTTGAATCTTGAGCTGGAGTTTTTTCGTTTTTTCCCAATTCCAATTCGCCATCTTTTTGTGATTTCATTTCCGCTACTTTCTCGGTATTAGATAACTTTATAATATCATTATTAACGTTGCCTGAAGAAGAAGCTACATCATGAATTGATTTATCGCTCTTTGATGATTCTCCATCATTTGAATCTTGAGCTGGAGTTTTTTCGTTTTTTTCCAATTTCATTTCGTCTCCTTTTTGTGATTTAATGTCCACTTCCACTGCTTTTTCAGTATTAGATAACTGTACAACTTCATTATTAACATTCCCTGAAGAAGAAACTACATCATGAATTGATTTATCACTCTTTGATGATTCGCCATCATTTGAATCTTGAGCTGGAGTTTTTTCGATTTTTCCCAATTCCAATTCGCCATCTTTTTGTGATTCCATTTCCGTTACTTTCTCACCATTAGATAACTGTACATCGTTTTTAAGATTTTCTGCAGCAGAAACTACATCATGGATTAATTTATCATTCTTTATCACTTCGTTTTTCTCCATCTTCAACTCCTCTCCTTCTTTTTGTGATTTGGTATCCACTTCCGTAGCTTTCTCAGCATTAGATAGATGTACAACATCATCTACGTCATGCATTGATTTAAACTTTTTTGACAAATCATCATCATAATTCGAATTTTGTAGTTCAGTTTTTTTAACATCACCTTCATTAAGATCTTGGGAACCTTGTATTACCCCATCCTTCATGCCTGAATCTTGCAATAAAGGTTCTTTGCCCATTTTGGTTATTTCATCTTGCGTAGTATTTATCGGAAAACTTTCACTTTCTAAACTATCCAAGGCTATATTATCAAGAGTATCATCTGTTGAAAGTTCACCAGTTTCTAAATTGCTTTTGCAAGTTTCTGAAGTTGATTTAATATCTTGATTATTTAATTTTAGATCACTTTCTGAAAGTTTATTTTCTTTTTTAACAGATTGATCCGTATTTAATTTTTCTCCTTGATCTTTTTCAGCTTTTTCTTTAGATGTAATTTGTGGTTCCATGTTATGATGAATCAGATTTGCATCTGATTCAAATACATCTTTAATAATTTCTGTTTTCGGAGCGTTTTTCAAGCAATTTTCAGTGAGTTTAGAATTATTTTGTAATTCTTGTACTTGAGAAACTTCTAAAAAACTTGATTTATCCGTAGATTGTTTACTTTCCATCTTTTTAGACTCTTTAATTGCTACATTGACATTATTTTCATTTAAATCGTCTTTAGGGTGCTTAATTTCTTTCCCACCACCATTTTCTTGAATTAAGTTTTCTTCATTCTTACTTATTTCATTTGAACTTGCGGATTCCTCAGTTTCAACTTCAACTTTAGCTTTATTTTTTGTAACATTATTCTTTTCTTCAATATTAGTTTTTTCTGATTGATTTTCTTTTAGAAGTTCCTCTTGAATATCTCCTTTATGTAATTCATTTAAGTTTAAAGAATTTTCTTTTTCTTGTGGATCAGATTTGATGGTATCAGCAACTTTATTTAATTTTGATTCTTCAATATCTTTCTTAGTAAAATTATTTACAGAAATTTTTTCATCACATACAGATTCTTTCTTATCTTCATTAAAACTCACTTCTCTTTTATTTCTTGAATCATTAGACTCAAACTTTGAGGAATCAAGATTAGAAACTTTATCATGTCCAACCACTTGATTCGCCTCTTGAAGTATATCATCGATTTGTTCCGAAACAGTTTTTTTTTCCACCCCATTTTTTAGATGATGTTCTACGCTTTCTTGATAACTTTTTCCATTCGCTGCGTTCAATAAATTTTCTTTATCTTCACTATACGTTCTGAGAGGAATATATTGATATTCAGGTTCAACAACAGTGGGCTTTTTTGAGACAAATTCCGCGCCGTTAGGGGAAAATTTTTGTTTAACAGGTTCGATTATAGAGTTGATATATTCAGTGATTGCCCCGTTAGACTTCTCAGAAATCTCTTTATTAGGAGAATAAATAATAATTTCTTTTTCAATTTTCGGTTCAATTTGAATATCTGGTTTCTTATCAATTTCATTTTTTGGTGAATTATCACCATCTTCAGAATATTGTCTTAAAGGAATATAAATATATTTTGGTGATTCAGTTTCTTGTGCCGAAAGCGATCTCTCTTTTAACATTTTATCGTCTTTTTGAGGAGTGGAAGGAGTTTCAGCAGAAAAAGCTCTTCTCAAAGGTTCAGTTATAGTCGTTAAATATCTTGTGATTTCTTCATTAACTTGTTCTTCTTTAATTTGTTTTGTTTCCTCCTTGCTTTTGAGATTTATATCTTGAATTAACTCTTCTTCAGGGTTAGTAACAATCTGATTATTACTGAAAATCACTGTATCTACTGAGTCAGCTGAAGTTGTTGAATCTTTACTAACTGGTCTTTTAATTGTTTCAACATCAAGCTTCTCCACATTTTTTTCTTGTGGTTCGGAAGATATCTCAACGACGTCTACACCATTTTCAATTATTACTTTAAGCGTTTCTTCTTCAGGCGTATTAATTAAATTTTCGTTTTTAACATCGGATTTTAAATCAAAAGGATTTTTTTGTGTTTCAATATTTTCAATCAAAATTGGTTGCGTTTCGGATGAAACATCAAAATCTTTACCTTTTTCAATTATTACTTTTAATATATCATTGTCATCTTTATCTACAAAGTTTTTAATAAGATCTTTTTCTTCATTGATTATGTCGTTTTTTAAAACTTTATCCTCAATTTCTTCTTTCATATTTTTAACTTTTTCGACATTATCTTCAAGATTTTCTTCTTCCACCAAAGTGGATAATCTCTCTTTATAGTCAATAACAACCTTAGGAATAAATCTATGCTCTTTTCTAGATAAATATCCTCTAAATAAAGCTTGAATTACTATCGCAGCTTTTCGACGTTGCTCTTCGGTAAGTGCTCCATCGACTTTCTCACTTTTAAAACTAACATTTTTCCTGATCTTGTGACCTCTCCATACCGATTGAATCTTCGTGGCTGCTTTATTTTTGTAATTATCCATCTCAGAGATGATTTCTTTATTGTTAGATGGTTGAACATCACCGCCAAAAATAGAATCAACTTCGTTATTTTTAATTTCTTCTTTATACTCAGACGATTTTTCAATTTTCCTCAATCTACGTCTAGTTATAAAACTTCTTATCAAAGATTGTATTAAAATTGCTGCATTTTCCATCGACATCGATGAAGTTTCATTTTGTTTAGGAGCTTTATTTATTAAATTTTTAATGGGTGATTTAGTTTCTTCATTAGAAATAGTAGAACTTGAGGAAGATTTCGAAGAGGTTTTTTTCAGTTTATTCTTGTTTGTTTCCGTACTTTTCGGGGGATCTCGCTTTTTGGATTCCAAAGATTTCGATAGGCGACGTTTTTCGAGGATACATTTTGCTTTTTCATTTATGTTATCGTTTTGAGGGGTTCTCGGTGACAAGTTAGAGTCTACTTTAGCCTTGACGTTTCGTCTATTGATCCTGCGAATAGGTAACGGAGGTTGCTCATTTTTTAATTTTATAGTTGTGCCAATTGTTGCTGTTTTAATTTTTAATACGTCGTTTTTTGTGTATTCTTTACGTAAACCCCCGTTGGCTGATGGTTGTTGGATTGATTTTCCAACTTTTGGTAAAGGTACTGCTTAAAAATAAACATAACGAATTTTTCTTACCTATTTTTAATTACTTACCTTTATAATTTGCTTTATTTCTAATGGATAATAGACGTGAAAAATATTCGGATGCAAAGGTGTAGATATCATCTGGTTTTTTCTTTAGCACCTCTTTCGTTAAAGTTTCCATAAGCTCTTCTAAACCTAAAGGAACACTAACTCTTTTTACAACCATTTCGGGTTCACTTGCCATCTTATCTTTTAATGAAAACTTTTTTGCTTGTTATCTTGGTCGTGATATTTTCAGACTGAGTTTAACGAAGACTTGTTAGTAGGGAAAATTCGATCAATGTCTTTACGTGACTGTTGAATGCCTAACAACTTTTTTTTGAGAATAGGAACGATACAAACAACGTTAAAAATCAATAAAACCGTACGCTATAAAGCATTACATATTTATAGACTCGAAAGATTTACAATTTAGGATAATAATTTATTTGCATTGTTTGTCCCAACCAGATGAATTAAAACGATCTGAAAGAAACTGATATAAAAAAATTTAACTTTAACAAAATCGAAGCAATCACCAACCAAAAAAGAACGTCAATTTGTTTATAAAAAATGTCGAACTGCTGTCCGAATTGTTTATGTGACTCTTAAAATTATTTGACTCTTTACAAAAACTCCTCGTTCTCAAAGGAAAAAGAACGAAATGAAGAGGTGTTGTTCCATCGTGCTCTTCACATTAATGGCTATTTTTGAGGTCAAGGCTAAGTCGTTAGTTTTTAACAAATACGGCACAAGGTAAATGAAAGTGTTTTAACCCTCAATGTCAATGTTACCATTTAGTTTTTTTATTAATAGTCCTTATTACGGCGCCAGGAGACCATCTTACGACATGGATTTTGATGAGATGCAAGATCAAAGTTCTGACGTTTTCGGTTATAAAAGATCCATCGATGGAGGTATCCATCCGTTTAAAAGAAGCATTTTTGGAAGTACACGAAAAAGAAGTCCTTATGGTTTAGTTTATAATCAAGGAAAACCGATTGGAATTCTTGAGGTTATTTCTTTTTTTAAATATATTGAGTTTAGTCGAAATTTCGACTTTTGGCCATTTTAAAGTAAACACCTTTCCATTTACTCTTGGCACATATCCATCAAACTTTTTTAACGTTTCTTTCTGACACGTGTTAGAAAGCGTCACCAGAAACAAAAATAATTAAAGCTAAGCTCATTTCCTCATTGCGTTTAATTTTTTTTTTAATTAAAAACAAATTTGTTATAATTTTTGTTAGCCAATTGGTCAAGCGTTTGAATACGCTTCTTATCCAGCCCCTCGAGATGTTAACCTAAGAAATACAGGTTTTAAGTCGCAATGGTATCCAACAAAAAGGGAGTCAACGGACTTGGAGATGGATGATTTGGAGCGAGCCGACGACGAGCTGGGGGCGTTACACAGCAGCAATTACGCGAACGTACTGGCCAAGTTCAAAGTCAACAACAAAGTCAAACATCGGCCTTACCGTGATTTTCTATGTGCACAACAGGTTAAAAGAAACGCGTTCTCCGAAGACGTAGCTGAAGATGGAAACCAAGATCATCAGTTCGATCCTGCAGCGTTGATTTCATCCGTGGTTTCTTCGTCGTCCTTCAGCAATCCCACATCTTCGTTACTGGAAGAGACTTCATCGGATTTGGCAAACAAAAAGCGGGAAGGAGATGAATTGAAGAAACGGGGAGCTTTGAATTTGGGCGATTTAACGAGCGATCAAAAGCAAGACGAAGAACAAGTTGTAAAAATCGATTCCGGATTAAAATCTTCATCGAAAGTTAAACGAAAAGCCGAGGAGAAGATTGGTGATGTTGATGATAATCTAAAAGAGGTAATGGACGATTTGAATTTTATAGAAAAGGATGGTTCCGAGCAGCAAAAAGATGAAAAGATTGCTATGAAAAAGAGAGAGATCTATTTTGAAGATGAGGACCTTGAGAATGGTCTCAATAAGATCGGGTTAACCAAAGAATCTCACTTTGACAGAAATAAAAAGGAAGATACTCCTCTTAAAACGAAAATCGTTACCAAATCATTAAAAAACATCAAAAAGACCAAAGTTGAAAAAAGCATTCATAGAAAAGGTAAAAAGAAAGCTAGAAAGGATTCTGATGAGCCCAAACAAAGAATTGTAAAAAGTCCTAAGCGTCTCAAAGGAAACAATTACAACAATAACCGTGGTTCAAAAATAAATAAAATCGCAAATTATCAATCTGCTGGCGAAGAATACCTCCGAAAGAAACGACAAACTGCTAAAGACGAAAAAGCTGAGAGAGGCGATTCTGAAATTATGAAAGGATTAGAAGAAGCCTCTGGTGATTTAACAGTAAGCGGGAATAAATCGCCTCTTGTAGCTGTAAGTAACGATGAAATTGAAAAGAAGAGTCAAGAAAAACGCGATAAAGAAGAACTGGAGTACGAAAAAAGGCTCGAGAGGAACATCGAGGAAAAAATTAACGCTATCAAAGAAGAAGTTAAAAGGGAAATTTCCCGTTTGCAATCTGACGATGAAGATGTTGATGACCCACAAAGGAAAAAAAGAGAGATAACAAATAACTTGATGGAATGTGAAAGTAGTATCCTTGATCCAGGAGAAAACATCGAAGAAGATCTTGAACCACACATTCGAAAGAGAAGAGGAACCGAAATAAACAATAACAAAAATAAAATGCATCCGGTTGAATCGGAAGAGGAAAAGACCCCGAAAGAATTGGAAGAAAATTCTGCTATAAATAGTAACGAAGAAATAAAATCGAATTCAGAAGAATCGATGATAAATAATCGACAAGAAGTTGCAAATGATGAAGCAGAATCTAAAGAAAAATCTTTAATTAAAAGAGCTTCAAAATCAGTACCCGAACTAAAAGAGGAAAAGGAAGAAGAAGAAGACAAAGAAAGTAGTGATGAAGATGATGAGACAGAACGGGAAACATCAATGATTAAGCGAAACCAAAAGAAAGAAAGAGAAAAAGAAAGAAAAAAAATCGCAAAAGAAGACATGGAAGAAAACGAAGAAGATAAAAACGTTGATAAAAGAGACGCTGAGGTTCAAGTAACCGAAAAAATAGAGAATAACGGAGAAGAAGATGCTTCAACCGAAAATATTAATAAAAGAAACGATATTGACGTTAGCGCCAAAGAACAAACAGAAATCAACGCGGTAATAGCAGATGCAAACACGATCGTGAAAAGAAACGAAGAAGAACAAACAACGAATAAATTTATTATACCCAGAGCAGGTATCGAATCCACCTATGAGGAGGAAGAAGAAAATCGACAAGAACGAAGCGTAAAAGAAAAAGATGTTAAAAATTTTAATAACCAAAAAGAATCCAAAGGAAAAGAAGAAAATTTAATAAAAAATACCGATAATATCTCAAAACGCGATCAAAGATCTCCCGATGAATCAAGTAGCAAACCAATAACACACAAAGAAATCAAAGAAAAACGACAAAAAAGAAGTACAAATGAAGCAAAAGAAACGATTCCAGAATTGGAGAAACCAGCAGCTTCGAAATCGGTTATTTTAAACGAACAAGAATTGGGTAAAGTAAGTGTTATATTAATTAAAATCATAATAACGAACTAATTTGTTATTAATTTTTTTTGAGGAAAACCAAGTTGAGGAAAGAAGTGCTGCGGAAACCGAAGAGACAAAAGAATTACCAATAAATAATCAAGAAAAATCAAATCTTAACCAAGATTCATCTCAAACCGATAAAGAAGAAATCAAAGAAGAAAGTAACGAAGTGAATCAAAACGTTAAAAAACTCGCCGAGGAAGATGAAACATCATATTTAGAATCGAAAGAAAAACAAAATGATAATTCCGATGTTAAACGAAAACGAAGATCTTTATATAACGAAATGTTAAAGCGGTCTTCTCGAAGAAAACGTGATGGTTCTTGGAGTGATTCGGATTCGGTCGGATATAGAGCGGAGGATGGTGAAATTGATGAAGAGGACGATGAAATGCAAGATGATGGTTTTGATGATCAAACATCTAATTTAGTAAATAAAAGAAACGAATACGAAGACGTAGACGGTCCGGATTATCCAACATATATGGAAAGAAATAAGAGAAACGCCCTTAGACTTTACGACGATGAAGTTGGGGAAGATGAATCGTTTGATAATTTTTTGTTTTATCCGAAGAAATATTCTCGAGTAAAGCGATACGACAATTTAGGTGATAATGTAGTTAGAACGCGTAATAAACGACGTAAAAGACGCGAGGAGGAACTTACGGGCCGGTTAAGAGGCGATGCCGTTGAAAAGAATGATATTACGGAATTATCCGAAGCGGATATATTCGGAGGACTTCCGCAAAGTTATGAAGGTGAATTATCGCGGTTTAAAAGAGTGAAGCGATCGAGGGATACAGAAAAATAAGTTAGAAAAAAACTAAAATGTAATATAATGGAATGGCTTTTTTTTATTTATAATTTATATTTTATTTTACTGTAATCACCTAATCTATATATAATGATAATTTATATAAACTCTTTATATTGCAGGTTTGTTGTATTTGTTTTTTAGAATCTATATTATTTAATTGACTCAGACGTTCTTTTTTGGGTTGCTTGAAGTTTCTAGCGTTGAATAACAAAAAAAAAACTAGACTAATACTAACACTAGACAGCTAAATTTAATTGTTATGCAGCGCTAGACTAAGAACTAGAATCATTCGGGTTTAGCCGTCTTTAGAAACGTGCGGGTAAACTTAAATGATTCTAGTTCTAGGTATAGTGTTAGTTCTACATAATAACAGTGCTGGTGTAAAACTAGAACTATAGTAGACGCCACGAGAGCTGGCAGTAAATCATCATTTTCCGCTCTTACAAATGCCATACGTAGTTCACAAACCGCTAGAGAGTAATGTG